AACAAGGGTTAACAAGGGTAAGAAGGGGGAACAAGGGGTAACAAAGGGAACAAGGGCCAACAAGGGGTAACAGGTGTAAAAAGGGGAAGCAAGGTTTAACAAGGGGTAACAAGGGGTAAGAGGGTAACAAGGTAACAGGGTAATAAGAGAACAAGGTAACAGCTTAACAGGGTAACAACGTAACAGGGTAACAAGGTAACAGGGTAACAAAGTAACAAGGTAACAGGGTAACAAGGTAACAGGGTAACAGGGAAACAAGGTAACAAGGTAACAGGGGAACAGGTTAACAAGGTAACAGGTTAACAAGGTGACAAGGTAACAGGGTAACAAGATAACAGGGTAACAAGGTAACAGGGTAAAAAGGTAACAGGGTAACAAGGTAACAGGGTAACAAGGTAACAAGGTAACAGGGTAACAGGGTAACAGGATAACAAGGTAACAAGGTAACAGGGTAACAAGGTAACAGGGTAACAAGATAACAGGGTAACAGGGTAACAAGGTAACAAGGTAACAAGGGTAACAGGGTAAAAAGATAACAGGGTAACAAGATAACAGGGTAACAAGGTAACAAGATAACAGGGTAACAAGGTAACAGGGTAAAAACCAAGCAGAAAAAGTGTAGGTATAAGTTAAGTAGCTAAACGTCGGTACAATGTATGTCCCCATACATGAAGTAACAGGGTAACAAGGTTACAAGGTAACAGGGGAACAGGTTAACAAGGTAACAGGTGAAGAAGGTGACAAGGTAACAGGGTAACAAGGTAACAGGGTAACAGGGTAAAAGGGTAACAAGATAACAAGGTAACAGGGTAACAAGGTAACGGGGTAACAAGATAACAGGGTAACAAGGTAACAAGGTAACAGGGTAACAAGGTACCAGGGGAACAGTTTAACAAGGTAACCGGCTAACAAGGTGACAAGGTAACAGGGTAACAAGATAACAGGGTAACAGGGTAACAAGGTATTAAGGTAACAGGGTAACAGGGTAGCAGGGTAACAAGATATTAAGGTAACAGGGTAACAAGGTAACAAGGTAACAGGGTAACAGGGAAACAAGGTAACAGGGTAACAAGATAACAGGGTAACAAGGTAACAGGGTAACAAGATAACAGGGTAACAAGATAACAGGGTAACAAGATAACAGGGTAACAAGGTAACAAGGTAACAGGGTAACAAGGTAACAGGGTAACAAGGTAACAGGGTAACAAGGTAACAGGGTAACAAGGTAACAGGGTAACAAGGTAACAGGGTAACAGGGTAACAAGGTAACAGGGTAACAAGGTAACAGGGTAACAAGATAACAGGGTAACAAGGTAACAGGGTAACAAGATAACAGGGTAACAAGATAACAAGGTAACAGGGTAACAAGGTAACAGGGTAACAAGGTAACAGGGTAACAAGGTAACAAGGTAACAGGGTAACAAGGTAACAGGGTAACAAGATAACAACCAAGCAGAAAGAGTGAAGGTATAAGTTAAGTCGGTAAAGTCGGTACAATATATGTCCCCATACATGAAGTACCTACCAGGGAACAGGGTAACAGAGTAACAAGGTAACATGGTAACAGGGTAACAAGGTAACAGGGGAAGAGGTTAACAAGGTAACAGGTTAACAAGGTGACAAGGTAACAAGGTAACAAGATAACAGGGTAACAGGGTAACAAGATAACAGGGTAACAAGGTAACAGGGTAACAAGGTAACAGGGTAACAAGATAACAGGGTAACAGGGTAACAGGGTAAAAGGGTAACAAGGTAACAGGGTAACAGGGTAGCAAGGTGACAGGGTAACAAGGTACGAGGACACGAAGACATAAAAATGACGCAACGACGACATAAGCCCATAGCGACGCCACGAACTAAAAGCCACCTTTGCCCCAAAGAAAACAGTACGATGAAATGAGGGATGCGACGACACGAAGACAGCAGACAATGACTCGAAGAACAATTTTCGAAGCGAAGAAGTGTTTCCAAGACCACGAAATTCTGAGTATCGATTTTGTTCCCGATCTGACGGCATATTTTTGTGTTTTGTGAGTCCTTGTCTTCAACCATTTTTTCGATGTCTTCCTCGGTTAACGAAGCAAACCTGGAAGTCATGTTTTTGCGTCTTCACTGACTGACGGCCGGCCGGGCAACACAAAGCGCGCGAACTTGACATGATTACCCTCAGAAATCATGCACCGCGGTCATACATTACTTCCCCGTGACCTTGAGTGTCCTTGGTCCTTGAGAAGATATTTTGAGATATGATTATTGTATAATCTGCAGCTACCAGTCCTCCCCGTCGAGAATCGATCGATGCCTGGCGAGAAACAGCTCTGTCATAATCGATCTGCAGGACAATTATCCGATCATGACTTCCCCCGAAGAATTGAGTGGCAAGACCGCTGTTTTGTGTGCAGAAGGATATTTAGAGTCCTCTCAAATTCAAGATGCAGACAGCAATACTTTCACGGGGATCAGAGACATGTAAGGGTAGAGGTTGTTTTCTTGAAAACAGTTCTTGCACCGGCTATAAAGTGGACTAAGGCCCGGTTTAGTCGCCGGTCCACTCATGTGCCGAACCTGTGTCCGGTATACAAAGTAAATGCCCTTTTAAGGCTTCAAGTTGGCCTTTTTCTGATGCAAAACGTCTTCCTCTTAATCACTTTTTATTATTATTGGTCTGTACTCAAAAGAAAGCACTGTACACAATGAGATTTTTACCAAGCCGTAGCTAAGTAATTAGTGGGTGTTTGCCCATGTAAAGTCTATTTAAAAATTGGTTTTCTGACCTACCTTCATAAACACAATATGGTTTATGACTTTACTCTGTAAAATGGGAAAAATTAAGGGTAATTTTATACTGCAAATTCTTCATTGTTATCTTGTCAGGTGGGATAATATGTTACAAATGACAGTGCTCATACTGGAATCCTCAAATTTGGGTGAACTTTATGTAACAGGCAAAGGTTGTCTAATGATAAAATTCAAGGCATGTGTTCCATGTTAGTTAATGTCCATACTTTTTGTGTATGGAACTTTTCTCCAGGGGATGTAAACTTACAGGAAATAAAAAGTAGAGGAATGACACCAATATGGGATCTGACATGTTTGCAGTTACTTAAGGGGGTGAACCTAGGATAATTATGACTTGGAGGGTGGGGACACCCTCACTTTAAGTGCAAAGAAGAAGAGGTGTCTGGGATAAAAGAGGGAAGTGTATTTGGAGGTAAGAAAATGGGGGTATCTACCAAAGACCCACCCCCCACCCCTGCCTATTTTTTCCAGAGGTCTAAAGTTGTAAGGAAAAATATTGATATAGTGATAGTCCCATGAACAGCTATTGTATCCAGTGATAAGTAATAATATTGTTCTGTTGTTTTGCAGATTTGGTGGTATCACGATCAACACAGAAAAGGAAACATGCAAGGGTGAAAAGGAATTTGAAACGAAACTGGTTTGTAAGTCTTCCTTGCTTTTCTTAATTTTTGAGATAGTGTTTATGTGGTTAACTTTGTGACTCCTATTTTTCTCTGATACTTGATACTGATTTTTCTTCAGCATCATTAGAGAAGTTCAAGCAAGGTGCTATCCGAGGAGTTTGGCTGAGAATATCAATTAAGAATTCTACATATATTCCTATTGCTGTGAAGGTTTGTGGTTGTAGAAGTTTAACTTTATGTTAACTTGAAACAGTTGGAATATGTACTTTGCTTCAGGTGATCCTTAACCCTTTAAACCTTAAGATCAAATTGAGATTCTCACTTACTGTCCCTGTACTTTTTCAATAGAAATAGTGGGGAGAATTTGTTGAAATATCAGTTAGACTCATCTTCCCTGATTATGCCTTCAATCCTCATGACCACTCTGTTTTCTAAAGCATTGATACTATAAGGAGAAATTTCGTGCTGATCATTCTTAGAACAAATTGAGATTCTCATTTACTGTCCCTTTACTTTTTCAATAAAGTAGTGGGGAGAATTTGTTGAAATTTCAATTAGACTCATCTTCCTTGATCATGCACTCAATTCTCATGACCACTCTGTTTTCTAAAGCATTGATACTACAAGGAGAAATTTCATGCTGATCACTCTTAGAACAAATTGAGATTCTCATTTACCGTCCCTATACTTTTTCAATAGAAAGTGGCGAGAATTTGTTGAAATTTCAATGAGACTCATCTTCCCTGATCATGTACTCAATTCTCATGACCACTCTGTTTTCTAAGGCATTGATACTACAAGGAGAAATTTCATGCTGATCACTCTTAGGGCTTAAAGGGTTAATTATGAGTCAAGGGAGTGAATAGACTCTACAAAAGTCCTTAATTTCTTTTGTATTTTATTTATGTTTATCACAAAAGTTTTTACAAGGAATTTAAACAGGTTAACTCTGCTACATTAACTATACATGGTAACCATACTCAAGAAAGAAAGGAACGAGTAGGAAAGAAAGAAAGGACATTTCTTTTTCGTTAGTTCCTTATTTTTGCTAAAATTGAATAAAAGTCGTTAATGATGGAGAGAAAAAGAGATATCATCTCCCCAAAAAATTAAGATGACTTGTCTGTAAGTCAAGGAGAATAGGAAAATAAAAAAATATATGGAGTATTTTAGTGCTAAATGCAATCACTTTTGTTATTTAAGAATAAAGGATTCAACAGTACTTTTAACCTCATCTCCAAGACTGCACTCTTTGGTACGCTTTTTTTTTAAATTTGTTGACACTTTGTTACACTTTTAAGTGATAAAAAAGTTTTAAACATTTTGTTTGATGTTGAGAAAGATGTTTATTCAGTCAGTGGCACAAGCAGCTCAGAAGAAAAAAAAACAAGTACTCCCAGTAGGAGCTGAACCTGTGACCTTCTGTTTACTACTCCAGAGGTTCTACCACTCAGCAACAGGAGACTGATCAGTGGTGGATCCACACATTCAGATAAGGGAGGGGAGAGGCGGGGTGGGGGTGGGGGGGGTTTGGTGTTCTCAAAAAGTGTCTTTTGACTCTTTGGGCCTCAGTTTGGTCTAAAAATAATAATAGTGTCCCTCCCCTGGATCTGCCACTGCTGATAATAGCTAAGACCACTAACTATTTTTGGTTGTTTTTGTTTGCAATAGCATGGTTTTGTATTTCATCACACATATCCACATCACATTGTCATGACTCAGTGGCTGCCCAAGACTGAACCAAACACCCTTCCAACATTTGCTACAAGTTATCTTGGTATGCTGGTTGACAAGCTTGTTACTCTACATTGAGCAATGTATTTTTATTATAGGACTAGATCTTTCTATTGTCAGTCATAACCCATGATATGATCCTGAAGTCACAATATGCTCTGTAAAAATGGCTGAATAAATTTAGCAGACATACGGAATTCTCCATGTTATAGCTACATGTAGGATCCATGAACTTTAACCTTTTAAAAGACATCTCTATTCCACATTTTCAAACATCGAATTCAGCTGGTAGATTTTAGAAACTTTTTCCAACTACCTTTTGTAATCTTGTCAGAAGTGCTTAATATCTTGATGCCCACTATCATATCATGAAACATTTCTACATAAATAATGGTCTTCAATAACTATTTTCCTCAATTTCGAAGCACCACCTACTTCCGGTCATGAAGGGACTAATTTGATTTTACAGGGGTCAAAGGGTCTTGTACGGTTTGGGAGCACGCAGCATAATTGAAGTCTAGCTCTTATCGAGCTAAAATTTTTTTATTGTCAATATTTTTGACCAACTAGTTGGATTTTAATAAGTAGTTTCTTAGAAATCGATTTTGAGATAAATATTAGCGATAAAAAATCATGACGTTTCGACCTCTCCGAGGTTGTGAGTGAACAATGCGTGGTGTATTCTTTCCAGTGTAGCCTGTGTGATGCAGGCTATGTCGGCTACACGTGCCGACACCTACACCAACAAATTGAAGAACACAAAGGATCGGCAATCGGAATCTTAAGAAAGAATCTTAGAAAGTGTCAGAACAAATTTGACTGCCTTATTTTTGAAATGTTTTTTATCCAAGATGCCCACTATCATATCATGAAACATTTCTACCTAAATAATGGTCTTCAATAACTATTTTCCTCAATTTCGAAGCACCACCTACTTCTGGTCATGAAGGGACTAATTTGCTTTTACAGGGGTCAAAGGGTCTTGTACGGTTTGGGAGCACGCAGCATAATCATTTTGTTTCGCAAAATCGATGGAGCTTTAATTTTTTTTTGTGCTTTTGTTATTTTAGGTGCTGGTGGATTAGTTATCAATGAGAAGAATCAAGTTTTAGCTGTTTGCGAGAAATATAGAAGAAAACAACATTGGAAGCTGCCAGGAGGCATGGTTGACAGAGGTCTGTACTAATTGAATGCTATCGATAATGTTTAATACTCACTACAGGAACTGTCATAGGGAGCAACCAATAAACCTTTGAGTTAACTGCTCTGAAGTCTATTCCCTCCTAATTGTTCTTAACAAAATAGACTTGTGCAGTTAAACATTAAGTTGCAACACTAGGAAATTTAATCCCTTTCCTTAAAATAGATGGAAAATACTAATAAGCTTCTTTTCTATTGGCACCAATGAGTTAAAATAGTTTGGAAGTAGCAAAGTTTGACTTTGTTTCAAGTGAGTAGTGTGACAATGGCATATCACAGTTCTAATTCATTGACAATCTATTAACAAAATGACTCATGCCTCATAAAAAAACCTAAATATGGCTTTGGTGTGCAAATCAACTCATACATTTTAGTAAAATCCATCTAGTGGTCTATTATCAATGCTGTGTTCTGATTGGTTGAGCTACTACTAGGCTATATGTTGTAGCCCACTAGTAGCGAAAAGTGTGGGCTTTTGGTGGCAAAAAAGGATTGAAGTCTAGCTCTGATCTAGCTAAAAATTTTTTATTCTCAATATTTTTGACCAACTAGTTGGATTTTAATAAGTAGTTTCTTAGAAATCGATTTTGAGATAAATATTAGCGATAAAAAATCATGACGTTTCGACCTCTCCGAGGTTGTGAGTGAACAATGCGTGGTGTATTCTTTCCAGTGTAGCCTGTGTGATGCAGGCTATGTCGGCTACACGTGCCGACACCTACACCAACGAATTGAAGAACACAAAGGATCGGCAATCGGAAACCACCTCAGAGAGCAGCATGATATGGAGCCTGAAGACATCGCACAAGTTTTAGAATCTTAAGAAAGTGTCAGAACAAATTTGACTGCCTTATTTTTGAAATGTTTTTTATCCAAGAACTGAAACCGACGCTTTACAAACAGTGCGATTCAATTCGCGCCAAATTATTTGTTTAGTGTAGTTCTTGTTAACATTGTTTTATTTCCATTGTTTTTTGACTTTATAAATATTTTTAACACTTTTTACATTTTTACATATTTTATCACATTTTAGCGTTCACCACATTTTTATCTATTATAACTTGTTTTTAACTTATTTATGCTAATTTAGAGAACTTTTATACACTTGAAAATGACCTCGGAGAGGTTGAAACGTCGTGATTTTTTGTCGCTAATATTTATGTCAAAATAGTTGGATTTTACTAAAACAATTATTCCTCTCGCCCTCATGGCCTCTGAGTCAATAGCCCATGAGGCCGAAGGCCGAATGGGCTATTGACTCAGAGCCCATTCAGGGTCGAGGAATAATTGTTAAGTAAACTATATGTTCACCATGCTATTATGTACTTTACTCTGTACAGTGGAACCTCAATATAATGAAACATTATATGACCAAGTCCTCAGTATGACAAATGATTTTCTTTACCCTAGTAATCAACATATAAAAAAGAACCTCGATATAGCAAACAAATTTTGCCAGTCCCTTAGTCCTTTGTTATATCGAGGTTCCACGGAAAATAGTTCTCACTTGGTATACAAAATTAACAGCATCTGACCTCCTTGTTTTGCTCCATGCGAAAACGTTCACAGATGAAAGCATCATTGAAGCTGTGAAAAGAGAAGTTTTTGAAGAAACTGGAATCGAAACTGAGTTTGTCTCTCTTGTCTGCTTTCGTCACCTTGTAAACTTTCGTTTTGGCTGTTCTGATGTTTATTTCATCTGTCATCTGAGACCATTAACTCAAGAAATCAAAATGGACACAAAAGAAATTGCTGCTGCACAATGGATGGATGTAAGTGCTTCAAGCAGAAATGACCTGTACTGTTTTTTTAATATCTATTTTTAAACCCCTGAAACTGCCCACCTACCCCTCCCCTAAATAAGTCACAATTTTGCTGTAAGTGAAAAGTAAGTGTTAATGTTGGATTAGGGGAGGGGTAGGTGGGCATTTTCCCAAAAACCGTATTGATCTGACTAGGGATGAAGTTTGTGCTGCGAACGTTCTTAGAATAACTCTGACCCTATTTAATGGGGAATGACATAAAAAAAATTGATATCCTGTTTTAAGGTTATGTCACATAAGACAGCAATGTTGGAACAATGTTGAACTATTCAAAACAATGTCGTAACAATGTTGCAACGTTCTGTAATGCACAGAAAATAGTTGTTGCGAATCGTCCTTTAAGGATCAAAAGTGAAAAGAACAGCTTGATTAAAGAATGACGTGAAAACGTCATATATTTTTTTTTTGTGCATGGATAATGTTATCCATGTTAAAGTTATGATGTTATCCGTTTTTTGTGCATGGATAATGTTAATGTTGCTCTTTTAGATTAATGCAATAATTTTTATGATAAATCAAGAGATAAATGAATGAGGACGTTTTTTTGCCTTTTTGTCTTCTTTTTTTTAGTTAGATGAGTACATTGCAAGCCCATTGGTCAACGACAGCAACCGGTTCATTGCAGAGTCCTACAAGAACAGCTTTCAGAATAATGACAGCGTGCTGAAAATTGAAGCGAAGCAAATCCAAGTTGGCAAGGCGACTGCAACATTCTTTAGCTTAAATCAAAATAATTTACAGAGTACGTTATAGAACGAACACAACACAGGACTCCGGTCACCTCGCCACCAACTAATGACTCTGAAATATTAAATCAGAATAATTGACACGGTCTACTCACGTAGGTTTCTCAGGCGTGACCCCCTGTCTATCCATCTCAAAATTAGTGGATTGTTATGCATGGGGTACTTGACTTGCTCCTAATCTTCACGCGGCTCTACCACCAAAAAAATTATACCATTCGCCCGCTAATCCCACAGTTGGCGGCGAGTTGGTCGGCGCCGGGTCGACTTCTTTTGGTGGCGAGGTGGTTGGTGGCGAAATGACCGTTAGCCACAGAACATGACAAGCAACTGCGTTTTTTACTTTCGCAACTTGATGTACAAAACCATTTCATACTCAATTCAAACCTACAATTAAAGCAAAGTTTTTATCTAAGTTGTGTCAAGACTGAAATTGTTCGCAACTTCCTATTTATTATTTTATTCAAGTGAACGTTTTTTCAACCAGTAAATTGCAGTTTCATTGAAAACTGAAACACGGACTCGGATTGGAAGCTCAGTAACTAGAACTTTTGCCGGACAATATCAAACCAAACATATCGCTATAGAGACAAAGTAAAAACTTTAATAGAGGAAAGAGTCATTTCATATTTCTTCTAAACTATTTGTTAGTCTACCAACACAAAATGAGCAATTAAGGGCTATATCCATGCACGTCCGCTCAAGTTTTACAAACAAACAAAGTTATACGTCTTCGGGTTCAGTGAAGACTTCATCCACACAAGATTAATACAAAAGTTGACGTTAACAGTCACTAGAGAAGACAGGCTTCAACATCGTATCGGTCCAACACCCAAATACCTGAAATACTCACAAAGCAATATCTTAACTGGAGATTAATGTGAAAAGTCTCTTTAAGTCCTCTCATAAGCTTTTACAGTAACATTAGATAATGTGGTAGTAACTTTATATTTTTAGCATTAGTGTAGTTTCTCTTAAAATTTGTTATGTAAACGGCTCACTGGAAGAACATTTTTAATGAAGAGACACCGTGAATAAAGCTTGATTGATTGATTTACTGAACTCTCTATTATAAACGAGTGCTTTACATGGTTCATAATGGCCAGTTTGTTGCTTTAACGTGATAATGAGCTTATGCAATAAAGACGGTAGCTGCAACAATAACGTCAAAATTTGAAAGCAATAGGGTAAATAAGCCAAGCAACTCTACTGACAGAGCACTACAACATGAAATTCGTCTTTAATTAGAAGCTTATGGGGATGAGGCACACAACTAAAACAATTTCTTATCTTTCTGACCTTGAATAATTTGCCCAACCTCGTTCTAGAGGACCCTGGGGACGAGGTTGTAGTTTGCCTGCACTTGGGACTGGGTAGCCTGTGCACAGCTGCCCATCTGTACGCAGGGTAGGTAGGGACTGGGTCGGTTTTCGAGACTATTTTGAGGGACAAATTTCTATCCAGTTCCTGTGTAACCTTGTTATAACCAATAAAGAAATAATAGCGTCACCCGAAACAGTCCCATAGTCCAATGCGACAGAACATTTCGTCTTTCGGATATATTTTTTAGATTTTTTGGTAACCGTAAACATGTATGATAGCTGTATATGAAACCTCGAACATCCTAATTATTGAACCGAAGGACTTGTTAAATGATATTCTGATACCATTTCAGTTAGGTGACTAACGCTGTAAAATATGCCTAAGAAAAACTATGACGTCAGTCATTTTCCTGAAATATATATTTTTTCTTTCTCTTTTTTCGACGATTATCCTCAGTCTTTCAAGTAACACATATTATTTCTGGAAAAAACGTCCGCATAAGAGAGATTGTTCCAAAATAAAGTTGTTACAGTTTTCTCCTTTTGATCCCATGATTATGGTCCGGAGAATATTTATTCAGTTGATGGTCCTTTCAAACATCATACTATCAAACTGTTTCTGACAGAGACGGATGAGGTACAACGAATCCAAGAAGTCATTTTTACATTGAGAATACAGGTAGGCTAAAAAATAGACCTTAAATGACCTTCAATTGTCTAGATTACCTGGTGGTTGAATGAATGGTTTGATAACTTCTAACGTCGAATAGAGGGTCTAATGGTTAACATTTTAGCGCTTATACTGCAGTTTCACGCTTTTCATTCATTTTCATCGCGATTAGTGGTTTCTGTTTTTCTATGGTTTTGCGGTAGAGTAGGCCCCAGTTCCCCTCATTATTGACAAAAAGAAAGTTCCAGAGATAGCTGAAGATATTGATCAGAAGCCAGTAATATAAGGATGAGAACAGACAGAGTTACCAAGACGATAATTTCATCAGTTAGCAATGCAGCGCGTTTAAGGGCAGTTACCAAAACTGACAGAAATAATTGAGATTCATAAAACGTCCGCTAGGACGACCAGAAATCTTAAAAGCTGTATCCAAATTTATAAACACTCTTTGGTTTACTGAATCGTGACCTTTTTTCATTACCAGATCACCAGCATTTATGTCGCAGAGTGAAATCAAAGCAGCAAATGATAGAGACCCCACATCAACTTGTGATGATGAACAAGTGCTTAATTTTGACGACAGCACTTTGAAAAGTAAAGAATACTTAAGACTGTTAACAGTGTAGTACCGAACGCCTTAACGCTGAAGAGGCAAAAGAGAAACGTTTGAAAAAAGCCACATATATCTAGTTAGAACTTCCGATACACAATAGTGATAGAACAAAATTATGCATACAACTGATCTTTAAAGGTAAATGTGTCATTCGTCAGTTAACCCTTAAGACCCTAAGATCAAAATTAAAATTCTCATTTGTCGCCCCTATTCATTTACTATATAACTAGTGGGGAGAAGTTTATAAAATATCAAGCAAATACATCGTGTGTGATCATGTCATTAATTCTCATGACCACTCTATTTTATAAAGCATTGCTATTACAAGGAGAAATTTGATGCTAATTACTCTTAGGGTTTAAAGGGTGAACAAGTAATTCATTGCAACGGCGTAGCAATCGAAGAGCGTAAAGCTGGATTTACAAGTGTGAACGAGTTAGTAACATCTGAGCTTAACTACAGAAAGTAACGACAACTCAATTCAATTCTGTTTCCTTTTTAGCAATAGCAGAGGTTTACAACAATGAAGGAAATGAAGCATTCAGTAACAACGATTATGACAATGCCGTTTACTTTTATACTGAGGGAATCAAAGTAAACTGCAAAGATAAGGATCTCAAAGCAAAACTGTACCGCAACCGGGCAACTGCACACCTCTGTCTGGGTAAAGCTATTATGTATTTTACATGTCAATTTTATTTCTGTCTAGCAGTTTATGAAATTAATATCTATTACCAGGCTTTATGTTTCAGAAAAAAAAAGAAGTACTTTTAAGATGATAAAAATTGCGTCCTGTCTGCTCTTTGTGACACTCCTGAACTGGCGCATATTTTCCTTGACTATGAGTGACTGTCTTTTTAACATTCACAGGAAATTACAGCGAAACGTTGAGAGATTTAAAGATGCCTCTGATAAACGACCACACTTATTCTAAGCAGTAATAACAGGTAATTTTATTAGTTTTTACACAGTGTAAGCAGTTTACCGCGATTTTTTAAGGACGGCATCATTTTACTTCAACCCCTGGGGAATCCCTTGTGAAAGAGACGGGGATGCTCATCGGCTAATTAAAATCAAACCTCTGAATTAAAAGAGACCAATAAGGGCGTGGCAGTTGATCCCTATCAGACACCCTCATACCACCTCGTCCCCAGGGTCTTCTCAGGCCATATTGGATAACGAAAAGACCCTGGAGACGAGGTTGACCCCTGTAAGTTTTCAAGTAGCCAATTTTTAAAAACAATTATTTTGTGTCCTAATCTTTCCAGTTCAAAAAGACCCAAAGAGAAAGGCTTTCGTGGTCAGAGGCAGATGTTTTGAATACGAAATTGCAAGTCAAACTTTTATGATGTCTCAAGCTGCTGTCACAGTGCTCGAGGAAAGATTCAAGCCCGGCGAAGGGCGTGGTTGGAATTGCAAGTGCATTTTAGGAGCTAGAACTGGTACACGTTGTTATTGCATCAGTGTCGGCAATTGACGGCATTTAAGTTATGAGACACTTTTACGAACAATTCAATCACAGTGTAGAGTACGAGTAAGTCCCTCAATGAGACTGTGAAATGGATGCTATAGTCTAACAATACTGATGCCATGAAGCACAGGGAGGCCAACCAACTGACAAGATTGGCGATGTCGTCACTTTTACATTGTTCAATTTTTCGGGGATTTTGAACTTTCTTTTTTGTTTTGAACATAGCCAGTCTACGTTTCAGCGCAATACCGGACCTTGAGTACAATTTCCTTTTTCTCTAGAATCACTTGCAATTGCAATGTTGTCAAAACGCGAAAAAGGAGGAATCCACAAATTTAAACATCAATTTCAAGGAACCCTTGGTCAGTTTGGATCAATAGGAAATGAGAAAGAATAAAACCCAACAAAAGTATTAAAAATGACCCAGCTACCCTTGTTCCCAGCGCTATAAATTCTTTCAGGTTCCTGCTACTATAGAAGGAACAAGACAAAATACCTAGGCAGGTTCTTGGAAAGTACTGAACACAATTCCCACCTCAAGTTTATGAGGTTAATGCTTTTCTTCTCTCAAAATTATATCCTCGAGACAGTGAGTTTGTTTTACAACTGAATTCTTTTCTTTTTGACGAAACAAATGATGAAAAGCGCGTGCACAAAAATTAGCCAATAAAGAATCGTTTTCCGGATGCCCGGTTAATACCTGTTTCCAGCTCGTGCGCGGCAGCGTGATTTTAACGCGCGCCAAAAGGGCGGTGACCATTGAACACTGAAACGCTGACTTGATCTGTTTCCCTCTAAAACGCTGTTCACTGATCAACTAATTGAAAACAGCTCACTTTTACCATCTTCTTTTTTATCAGTTTTGGGACAAATCTTCTACTTTTAGTTAATTAAGACACAGGAACTTAAGCGGGTAAAATTCTTATATTTTGATAGAGTAAGGCTACAATAATACACGTGATAAGTATGGTGCTACTTGAGTATACAGTAGTTATACCTCCTTTTGTAAGAGCGGTTTTAAGTCGCTTACCGTCTAAATAATTTCGATTGCGTTAACCTTCTATTTGCGTTCTTTGTGATTGGCAAAAGCTTAACCAATTAGATGCAAGAAAAAACCAGCTCCTGCATGCAACTCTTTTTCCCTCGCTCTGTTGTGGATGGGTTGTCGATCTCTGCTTTGATTGGTCAGAACGATTACTTTATTTGATTTCACGACACAAAGACCACAGTGTTTGCGGAGGGAAAACTACTGAGTATACTGAGTGTCTAAGGCAAACTACTGTGCTGGCATAAACAATTCTTAAAAACAGTCCTTTTTGCGGACTCTAATTTGCTACTTGAACTTATATTCTTCTCTACTTTGGCCACAAATGATATTTAAGGCTATCGTATTCCCTCTTATTAGCTCCCTGGGGCTTATTTAATCGCAGCGCTCCTGGAACGAGGGTTTTTTTTTAGACATTCTCGTTGCCGTCGCCGTCGCCGTCGCCGTCGCCGTTGTCCTTGCCTAAGCTCCCCATTACTTAAATTAGAGGGGGGTCATAAGATTCAAGGGTCACTAGCTTCTGGGGGATAACAAGAGGAAATACGGTGATTTGAACTACAAAAAGTAATGTTTCATATTAAATTTCTACAATCATAAATACTACGTGACATGGATTGGTGACACACCATGGAATATTCCACAAGCTTCTTGAATATATATTAGACTTGAAAATACACGAAACATTGGATCGGTACTCTTTGCTGTGCCATAACGAAGCATGGTCTATTTTATCCCACTCCGTAGAAAATACTCAGGTATTTAGTGAAGTCTAAATAATAAGGCGTAGACTTTTTCATCGTTCCCAAAACTTATGATAGGCAAAATTTAATTTTTGTCAGCGTGAGGGCAAATCAAACAGCAGCGCCTGACAGAAAGAAACAGTTGAATACCGACGAAAATTCAACAGCTTTCCCTGCACTCTGATTAGCTATATTTTCGATGGTGTGAGATACCGTTATTACTGAAAAACCTCTTGTGAAAAGGAAACCAGTTCCCACCAGAAGTATCTTTCCAGACGTTTTCCTAAAATAAATTGCTACGGAAATTTGACAGTAAAGAAAATCGATAGAAAAACTGTGATGCGATTTTGGGGAGTGTGATTCATGTATAATCAGTAAGTGAGAAATTACTGTAAGCTATTTATTATACATTTTTGTATTAAAATTGTGAAGACACGAACAACGTCGTAAAGCATCGCTTAGAATAAGTAACAATAATTTAGTAAGTTAAATCTCCTATTCAATCAGTTAAGTTACCTTTGTTATCACATCTACTTGTAACATATAACTCATAATAACAAAAATAAATTATTCGGGTAAATCTCTCATTACCAGAATTAAGGCTTTGTTATCTACTAAATGTGGCTCTTAACTGGATATTCTGAGGTTGTGCGCTTGACTGGATCAGTGTTATGTCAAACTGTACTATGGGAATGTTTGTGGGACAACCATCGACTCGTTTCTTTTTGTTGGCAATTACAAAGTTGCAGAGGAAACTGAGTCAATTTGTCCGCCGAAACAGCATACATGTAGTACAATTCAACGCGACACTGACTTAGACTCTCGCGCAACATTAGAATGGCAAATAGCGTTGAAGCAGATCTCGCGAAGTGAACAGAATTGATGCCGGATGCATAACTTGGGTCGTAAAATCAGGCAAAACAGTCACTGAATATGCTTAAAATCCAAAACAGTTATTTGGCCATTCTACTGAATGCAAGTTCTTCTTCAATTTGGTCGAGCGATAAAAAAAAGTTGGTGATCAGGATACAAAGCCCAAGTTGTTTCCAGCCTTGTTTGACTAACGAGACAGCTGCGAAATTGGACTCTTTCAGTCGGCGCAATGTGTTTTAAAGAACCGTGCTAGTTACGGAGCGGTTTTCTAAGAAGCAATTTTTCACTTATCAAAAAAAATAGGTTTGAACATCTGGTACTGGTAGGTTTCTTAGCTCCAAACATCTACAGAATATCGCCCTTTAGCGCTGAGTTTCTTCACGTAATCAGCAGCTTCGTTCTCTGTCATTCCTCCATTCTCCTTTACAATGGTCACCAGCAAATTGTGAACATCACGCGCCATATTGCGGGCGTCGCTGAAAAAACAACAACATTTTATTGGTCAAACCGTCCAGACTTAGCAAGCGTTTATGTGAGAAAAAAAAAGTTGACCCCTTTGCCCTTCACTGGAGGATTCCCGAGCCAAGAGCGCTCGCGCATGCTCTGATTGTCTCGCACCATCGAAAAAACGGTGACCCGGCTAGCCAGGTTACCATTCTTGCCGGGCTATCTTTTTGTTTCTCATGAATAAGAAGGAAGAAAATGTAGGAAAAGTGGGCTCGCCCCAAAGTGAATAAATCTAAAACAAAAAAAGGTAGCAAAGTATAAAAGACAGTTATTTCATAGTTTTGAGTGTTCTCCCTTCGTTACAATAATAGCATGTAAAATCACCCATTTCGACATATAAACGTCTCGAGCACGATGTCCGTGTTCAACCTTTTGTACGAGCTGGTCTAACGTAGGACACACCTTCCCAGTTTCACTAAATTTTAATAAAGAAACCTTTCTTTTTTCTCCGTCGGTTCTTTTGTAGTTGACATGCATTATACTGAGTATTACTAGTGTTTGTGACCTTGGATAACTAAAAAATATGGCTGTCACTAAGATCTCAAATTGTAAGGTATATGCAATTAGTAGACTTCAATTGAAAGGAGCCGGGATTCATGCTCAAAGTAGTGAAGAGAAATCCCCGGTCCCCGAATCTAAGTGACAGCCCTGTAAAATTATTTATCCCATGTCAAAAAAAGTACAGCCAATCAGAAATCTAGAAACCCGTAGCATTTCACTAAAAAATCCCGGCGGTGCTTGCGGCCTCCACATTTTCCCGCCAAAATTGGAGCGGACAGCGGCTGGCACTTTTTGTTCTCCCAAATTTTTCAGAAGAAACTTTGTAACAATACTACAAAACCCAAGTTTTTTAATAATATTAACATTCGGATTTCTTAGAAGTCAGTTAAAAAAGGAATATGAAACGAAATCAAACAGACTACAACGGGCAAAGAATTTTTCAGCCGAGACTAACAAAACCAAAGCAGTGTTGCGAAAACCGGGATGGAGACACAGCTGCACTTAGAATCAGAAACATTCGCCAGCTAACTTGACACTTTCTTCAGATGCAGGTAAAATAGACAGAGGTGAATTCGAACTTTATTCATTGACAAGCTGTTGATCATTTGGGAATTGTTGCTAACAGACTGCCTAGTGTAATTGTTTTGTCTTCGAGTTTACCCGTGATGTCGAGGTTTTACTTCGTCCTGTTGAGTGACAGGCTCGATTACCAGCCGCTGTTCGAGCCACGGGAAAGCGGTGAAAATTGAGCCTAGTTGAGTGACTTAGGATAAATATGTCTTATGTTATGCAATGTTTCTCGTGGTATACCGTTAACATCCCACACCAGAATTGATAAATCTTTGTATACACACTCGCCTAGAGAGCGTGTGCATACTAAGTAAAAACAAGTCATTCGTGAGATATTTCATGGTACAGTCGACTCTCTCTTAACGAGCACCTCAGTATTTTCAGAGTACTTAAGTGTGACGTCATAAAAAACTAATTTTGTGAAATTATGGAATTTGTCAGGATACCGGTATTCTGAAATAACATCTTCCAAGAGGCCTACTTGCCAAAAACTAGCATTGTGGGACAAATTGTCCCTGAGATATTAGCCCAGTTATGCTCTGATGACTCTATACAAATCCTTCTAAATTTGACTTGGGTCTGAACGTTAAGACCCAAGTCAAATTTAGAAGGATTTATATAAGACGGACATCTCTCTAAGACAGACACTTAGTGCCTCTCCCAAAGGTGTCCCGACGTGTCAGAGAGAGCTGACCGTATACCACTCGAAAGCATTGCTAATGAAAGTTAGAATAATGTTTCAGTTTAAAAAAACTAAAGCATCTTACCCACAAACGTAAATGTGGCCTCCATTATCCAATATCTTCCAAATAGACTCTTTGTTTTCAGCCATTTGATTCGTCACATAGACTTTTTTCTCCTGAACAAAACAACAACTATCTTTCAGTCACAAAATTTAGAAGAAACTGTGCAGCAAAACAGGATGTTACAGTTTGCAGAAAGTAGAGAGTATACCGTAACCGTAAATCATCTATTAAACCCCCCGGGGCTTGTTTATTTCAAACTCATTTTAATGGGGGCTTAGTGGAGAAGGGGTGCTTATTTAATTTAGCAAAGACGATGGTATTAATTTCCCATAACGACTTAGAATACAAAGTGGAAAAGCTCAAGTACAAGAAGTCAGAGGTCATGCAACCCATAATCAAAAACAAATCCGAAATTCCAGTTGGTGAATAAACCATCATGGATCGGTCCACACGAAGTGATTGATTAATATAGTCCAACCGAAGAATGATATGGGAGAGGGGAGGGGGGCTTATTGACTTTCTTCCCCTGAAAAAAAGATGGGGCTTATTTGAGAGGGGGAGGTGAATAGATGATTTACGGTAGCTCTAATTTTTTTTACCGGCCTAAGGCCAACTTGTTTTGTAGCAAGTTTGTGTCCCGTGCAATTTTATCCTGTCAGAAGTCGGTATTCATGCTACTGTTAAAAAGGCCTGATTGTTACAATACACGGGTGGTAAAACGCGCAACATCGCTTTTCACCTCGTTTTGCTGCACAGTTGCAAAGCAAAATACCCCTGTTTGGTAAGCCATTTTACCATAGATTTACCTAAAACAGCCGCTTTACAAATAACAAGATTGCAACAGACAACGACAACAAGAAGAGTTTTTGTCTCACCTGGTCGCGGGAGAAAGCCACATGCAGGTCAGCGATTGTTCCATCTTTTTCATAAGAGGTAAGTTCATCCTCATATATGTAATCCTCACTCTTCTTGCGGCATCCAAAAAACAACACAATGTCTCCAATTTGTTTCCCTGTTAACAAAAAAAGACCTTATTTATTTTGCCCTGATACAAGGTTACGTCCACGCGAGTCCGCTTATATGAGTAAACGCGTTCACCTATAAATGTGTAAAAAGCGCCGTGAACGGACATTTTTCGTCGCGGTCTCTAGAATGGACTAGTTCGTAACCGGGTGAACACGGACGGACACTATAAGTTTAAGTGTCTGCCTTAGAGAGGTTTTCGCCTTAAACTAAGATTTACAAAAGAAAATGATTGAACAACAGTAAGGACCAACTTTAGGTGTCCGTTTTAGGGAGTTTTCTGCCTTAGAAAGAGTCGAAAAATATTACTGAGGAACAACAGGGACCACAATACTCGTCACAAATCGTTGAAAAAGAGCTAAAAAGACACCGTTTCTTGTGAATTTTCTCGAAACTTTCTTACATTCACTTATCGCACTTGGGTTCTCACTCAAATTTGCACCTCTCCTTCCCCAATGCTGAGCCACGCGTATTTTGGAGCACTGAGACGACTGTAATACCCAAATCAACATTGAGGAAGGGGAAACGCACACAAATGTTTCAAGATTTTTGACGAGTACTCTAGGTGTCCCTTTTAGGGAGGTGTTCGCCTTGAAATGTCTTTTTTTTAAAATAACATTTACTACACACACACACACTACATTTCATTATCAACGTCAGTAACGGAGATATGTCGTGAATCATCATGTAGTTCAAGAGCCATTATGGCTCTTGGTAGTTCTTATTGTTGAGCGTGTTAACAAAATCCTTGGTTGTGACCATTGAAATAAAACCACTCCGACAGTACTTTCACATGGTACTATTTATTTAGTACGTAGTTCTAACTTTGGACAAAATCCTATGTTGAGACGATTCCAATGAAACCTCTACATAATGCTACTAATATTTCGGTGTTTAACAACACGAAATGACACATTTTGCTGTTTTAAAAATTTGATTTTACTGTGCACACCATTCTGTTTCTGCATATGTCTGTCCTGTATGAATCCTCTGAAAGGCGCCAAGCCCGTCCCAGGCCCCACCATGACAACAGGTGTCACTGATTTAAATGGCAGACGGAACTGGGTTTTACGGACAAAGATTGGAACGCGAGGAGGTTCTCCTTCTGCAAAGGAAGAAAATGTAGAAGAAAAATTACGAAATTTGCCCAATAACTAAAATCATGGACAAAAGTCCTTGACACAATAATGCAATATTCATATTTTTCTGTCATTTCTAGGTTCCCTCATTAAACAGTGCGTCCTTTTCGGAATTTTCTTGCAGTTCTCCCTCCCCCCACCCTTTACAAAGTTGAAACTCGGAAAAAATTCTGGATACACGCGTCCAACATTGTTTGTGGGGTGAGGCGAAGGGTTGGACCTGTGTGAATTAGTAAACGCCCCAGAAATGCAAAAGTGTCCCAAGACTTTTGTCGATGATTGTAGATGAAAAGCATTTAATTGAACCAAAACCGAATTGGTGGAATTGCACCTGAGTATGAGACCTTTCTTAAGGGTTATCACAAATGACGTCGCGGTCGTCGTTGGTAAAATCTCACCTTCTATCTCGGGCTGTATTTCACTTCATCATATTTTTTAAAATAAAGCCACACTAAGTGAATCAAGCGTGAATTAAGCGCTCGATGGCCGCTTAATAGAGCTGACAACTATGGGAGAAATCTTGTCGGGATGGCCAAAAGGTAACCGCGGCCGCTTGATAGAGGTTTCGTTTTCAATTCGTTTCTGCAATTGTTTCATAGAGATTTAGGGAATAGTCTATTTGTTAGGTATTATTTCATGCAAAAGAGTACTCACCTTTGGGCCTCTTGGTTGATAGCCAGGTAGTGGCCACACCCTTCTGCACCCTACCAGTTGATGTGGTCCATCGTACAAGCACAGCAGTGATGTGAATGGAGTTCGGGTACATCTTTTAAAAAGCAAAGCACAAAAAGTCACGACCTTAAACAGCAGCATGGACCAGACAGTCTCACCAAATTCCGGTACTTTTAATTGTCACAGTAGATTTAGTCAGAAGTAAGAGAAATGCGGCCGTTTCAACTTAATATTTACTGTACTCTTGTGTGAAAACGAGATACAATAGGAGTGACAGAAGAACACAAACTTGTTGGAAAATTTTTATCATTTGTCATTCCAGAAATTATCTGATTCCCTACGACTAAAAAAATCCTATACTTTAAGAATTTTCAAACCCCCCAAAAACTTGCTTTTCAAGCAAAATGATAGCTGAGCAACCACAGAGGAGCGTTGCGTGACGACACTAAAAACGGCTGGGTAGCAGACTACGCAACCACAAGATTAGTGTAAAACGAGAGTCAATGTATTTAGCACGAAAGTATTGATTAAGAACACTACGTTTACGTGATCTTCTACTGGAGACGGGACCACCGTTCTACGTGGTCATGGGAGCCACGTTAAGTTCTACCCATTTGCAGGGCAAAGGCAGTACCTTCATTTCTCAGTTGTTTTGGGACCCTCAGTATTGCAGGGGCGGATCCAGGGGAGGTGCCCGGGGGACCCAGCCCCCCCTTATTTTTAGACCAGACTGAGGCTCGAAGGGCCGAAAAAAAAATTTGGGGGATACCTGCCCCCGCTTATCTAAGGGTCTGGATGACCAGCCCCCTCCCCCACCCCCCCGCCTTATCTCAAGGTCTGGATCAGGCACTCTATTGGTATGGTCCGGTCCTGGAAAATGAACCCGCGACCTCCCGGTCAAGTGCTCTACAGACTGAGCGGTAAAAAATGCTGTGCATAATTGCATAAAGACTAGCTGACTACAGAAATTACGCTTCCTTAACTGTAGTTTGCAAGTCTACTCTACCTTTGGCGATGATGAGATGGAATAGTAGCGGCATTGCAGTCGCGGGAGAAGCTCTAACAAGTGATCCAGTGGTGGTCTTAGGGATGGTAGATCCTCCAACACTGCAACGATATGACGGTGTGGATTCATAACCCAGTCGTGGTATTGTTTCTAAAGATCGATAAACAGGGCCATTAGAGTGTGTTCTAGTTTTTAACCTTTCCTGGGCTGGGTGCGTTATCTGTAAGGAGAGATCTTAGGATAGGTATAACCTCATGATCATCCTTCAGGTGCCGTAACGGCTTTCTGTAATCAGTGTAAGTGTAGCGAAGCTAAAACTAATGTAATTACTCCAATTAATCACAATAGGCAACTAACTGCTTGACTTACTTTCGCCTCTTCTGTGGTATCTGTAATGTTTATGAGAAACTCTTTGTGGTGAAAATCTTTGGCGTATTCTGCTAATTCCCTCAACACATGAGTCTTGACTACGCTGGCAATGTCCACATAGTGCAGCAGAGCAGTTCGATACGTCGTTGGACAAGGGAAAGGATGCTTCTTAGGCGAATCCTCTAAAAGGTTGGTGAAAAAATCAAGTTCCGTTCAGGTAGAAACTCGTACAGTATTCACACTTGACTACAAAAAACTATGCCACGTCTACATATCCTTCCTGTGAAAAAACTCATTTTCAATTTAATCTCTGAGAGATTTATGTATTAATCTGCGGCACATTCTGGGCAATTGTGACAGATTTGAATCACTGACATCAAATGCATCAAAATGAACTATATTCTTATTGCTGACATTCTTTTAAATGTAGGACTGTTTCCTACCAAGTTACAAGCTTGACAAGTGGATATTCCACGCAGAACTGTAATAGCAAACCTGGCTCGACCTCTCCACAATGATTTATTTCTTTGCCACGGTGCATAGCCCACGCATTTACTCATTTTAACATCCTTCGATTCCATTTGAAGCCTGTACAACGGCCACTTACATCTGTTCCCAAGATGGCCATTGTGGATCAAGGGTCAACTGGAAACTGACATGGCACATTATCAAGCCATATACTTAAACACTGAAATATTAAATGAATATATGCTCACCATCCCTGTTTTGAAGTGAGATGACAGCATCCAGGTCAACATTCAACATGCTTGCAAGCTTCTCTACAAGTTCAGGGTCATTGGTAGGATACACAGCGACATGATCTCCAGCTTCATATCTTCAAACACAAGACAAAGTCAGTTAATTACTGTGAATTTTTGTTCACCCAGGTTGATGTACTTTGATTAACCCTTTCACCCCAAAAGAGGCTTAAGCCCAAACTTAAAAAAAATTCTAATTTCATTTTTGTAAAATGCTGAAAAAAAAAACTTCCGTCAGAAAGTACTAGCAAAGAGGTTTCATGTGAATAGTCACACGGCAGGTTTTATGTCCACAGACTCCTAAAAACAAAAACTGATAATAGCACAAGTGGCAAAAGGATTGTTTCCCCTGACAGTGGGTAACTGAACCATTTGGCTATTCACAAACCAAATTGAGCAGATGAACTTAAGATTACAAAGAAACTTATCAAACCACATGGTCAGCACAGCAACTAAACCAGAACCTCTAGATTATAATCACTGAGTAGCAAGCCAAATACTCTAGGACAAGCTACTTCCTAAGTTACAGTCAAGCCAGGTAAGGGTACCACTAAAGATTCTTTTTTAAAATAAAATCTTTATTTGAAAATTTATGTATTATCCGTTGGTCATTGCTGCTACTGGTTTGAAAACGGTGTGCCACATCATCTAAAAAAGCTCTTGTTACATTGATATGCAAAATAAGAACAGTGTAGAAAATGATCAAATAAAGAAAATTGTTGAGGTATAATTGCAGTGTTGGTGCTGTAACACTACATGTACATAGATCATGAGGACAATGACAGTGATTATATTGATGAAAAGGATAATGATGGGAAGGGGTAGTGCAAAAAAAAAAAAAATTGACTTTGTATTAACATCAATGAAATGAACAATATTTTAAAATTCAGTCTAAACATACTTTATTTTGGAGCCGGTGATGTCAAGCTCAATGTGCATACAGGAACGGTTGCCAGCTCTGTGCAGTTCACGATTCACCAACATAGGTGCCAAGAAAGGGTTCTTGGCATCAAAAGGCCTGAAAAACAGGGTAAAGACATAACAAATCATACATCATTGAACATATATACATAAAAATTATGTACATGGTGATTGTCAGAGAGCATGGAAAATTTCCCTTATTTGTGACCTCTGATAAACTGTACCATTCTGCTTACAAGTAACGTTAAGATATTTTGACCTTGATCTTCTAATAAAACAAATGCCAATTGTACTGTACACATACATATATACTTACGGACGCTGAGTGACATAAGACTTCAGTTTGTTCATTTCCCCAGAGTAAATCTTGTCTTGAGGTAAGTCCTCATGAATCACAAGTTTGAACTGACGTTCAATACAAGATGACAGTCTCCTGCAAAAATTTAGAGGTGAGTATCAGATACGTAAGTGTTAATACACAAGAAAACAACACACACAGTCCAAGTAATAATTACTTGGACTGTGCTTATTTACACTCGAATTAGCACTGCCCTCAAATGAGTGCTACAACAACAAATCAGACCATTTACTGAAGGCTACTAGGCTTTTTCAAGCAAAAAATACTAAACCTTAATATGTGTGGTCTTTGACTATGAGTAGCCAGGGCTGTCATTAAGGGCCAGGGGCCAGGGATTTTCCCCGGCTGTTATGAGCGTGACCCCCACTTACTGTTGTAGGAAAATAGAAGACAAATAGAACAAAACTAAAAATCCTTAGCTGTTTGATTCCCCATCTACTTGTATCACTAGCCTGGCAAGTCGAAATTTTAATGACAGCCCAGAATAACAGCCCAATTGATGTACCGGTAGATTACTTACCTCTTAATTTCTCGGATATCGATGTTGTATTTACTCAGTACTGCTGGCCAGAATTGCTCTCGCCATCTTACAAAATCTTCCTCTAAGCTGAAACATGAAAACATTTTCCTTATTTACAAAGGGAATTATGCAACCATTTTCTGAATCCAAACAACCACTCTCTTTGATCCACAATCTTGGATCAGAGCACCATTATTTTAGAAAAAGGGCTACATGAACAATGAGGATTAAAAAAAATGACAAAACAATATAGTTTCTTATCATAACTTGGTGAATAATGCTGCATTTAAGTTCAAATGACTTTAAGACAGAATCCATCAGGACATTGAGTAATTTTGATTTTCAGTGGACAAAAATCTTGTACCAGAATAAGTTAAAGCATATTGCATTCGTTCTTACATTTTTCAAGGGCTAAAGATGTAACAAATCATTTGTAGCAACACCAAAAAAAATTTCTCATGGGAGCCCACGAAAATGAATGTCAAATTTCACAAAATTACATCTTACACATGAAATTTTTAGAATTTTACCTGTACAATCTTAATTCTTGTGAAATTGACATTTATTTCGATTAGAAGGCCTGTCAAAAATAGATGCCAACACCAGGTGGCATTTCCAACACATATTACTTTTGTTCCAGATAAGTTTTTGCAGGTGACAAGAGGAGCCCACAATCCTAATCTCCAGGTTGTTATTACGCATGCGTCGAATGCATGTGGCCATACATGTATCCATTATAACTTAAGCCCCAATATCCACACAAAAATTCTCCACATTCATCTCAGTCCATAAATTTGCTTGAAGAACCAGTTAAGAGAATTATTTGGTTAACAAAGCATTTTCACTTAAGTGATCAACTTATCAATTCTCATGATATTTCCTCTTGATTACATATTGACATAAGAGAAAATAGATTTTTGTCACTCCTGAGACGTAAAGGGATAAGTGTAGGTGCTATCATGTTCTAGTTTGGACAAGGCAAGAACAAATAAATGCCTGTACTAGCTAATGTGGCTAGAAAAAAAAGACTAAACTCACTTTCCATCATCGTCTCCTTCTCCTTTTTCAAACACCCGGTTTGCCCCCATTTCTTCAAGCCTTTTGTCTACAAATCTGCCCATAGCATTGTAGTGTTCATAAGTTTTGTTCCCAAGTCCAAATACCTAAAAATACAGACCAAAATAATACTCTTAGATCAATATGAGAGTAAATTCATGCTGCTTAAACAACTACAAGCTGCCATATAAAAACCATTCCTAGGAATCAAACCTATAAACCATAGAAAACCCACCTCCCTTAGGTTATACATATTAAGCAGGATTGTCAAAAATGGTTCACATAGCAGGAGAATAAGAGAAAGTAGCTGGCAAGGAAGACAAAGGCCCAGCACCAGGCGAAGGGTCTGGGAGCCACACGTAACTGGTGATATGTGTTCCCCTACCCAAGAAACACAATATCGTTAGTTAAACTTGCTTCCCCTAGCAAGGAAATGCATATCCTTAGCGATACATGTTCCCCTACATGAGAAACACATATCCTTAGTGATATGTGTTCCCCTACCCAGGAAACACATATCCCTAGTAATATGTGTTCCCCTATCCAGGAAACACGTATCCCTAGTGATTTGTGTTCCTCTACCCAGGAAACACATATCCCAAGTGATATGTGTTCCCCTACCCAGGAAACACATATCCCTAGTGATCAATCAGCATAGCGGTATGGTCTGTTGTTCGCGTGGCTTTGGTGATCAGTGACATGTAACCTAAGCCATATCACTAGTGATATGTCTTCCCCTATCTAGGAAACACATATCCCTAGTGTTATGTCTTCCCCTATCTAGGAAACACATATCTCTAGTGATATGTGTTCCCCTACCAAGGAAACACATATCCCGAGTAATATGTGTTCCCCTACCCAGGAAACACATATCCCTAGTAATATGTGTTCCCCTATGAAACACATATCCCTAGTGATATGTGTTCCCCTACCCAGGAAACACATATCCCTAGTGATATGAAATAGACTGCACACCACTTGATACTTTTTCACTGGATCACAAACTCAAGGTCTTAGATTTTTGTGTCAGAGGTATTTACCACAATTGCAATGGATATAGAGGATATTACATGGCCACACGGGGATACGAATGTTATCTTCGAGTGCTGAAAGTATCTCTCACAAGTGAGCGAAGCTGACGAGTGAGAAATATGAGAAATACTTTCAGCACGAGAAGATAAAATTTGTATCCTCAAGCGGCCGTGTAATGTTTGTTTATTTAATAGATACTGATGAAATTCCTACATAAAACACGACTTTCTTTATTCATTTTTGAAAGAGCAAAATATTGTAATTAAAGTGGTCACATATCGCAAAATGCCTGTCACAAAAGTGTTATGAAACTCGGATATAAAGTTATAAAGGAGAAATAAAGACAATAATACTTATATTTTCTGTTCCAAAAAGTCAAAAGTGTGTTAGTAACCATGGCGACACCAATATTCTCACACATGAGAGATAAAATTAGTATCTTCACTGCACGCGATGAAGATATGATTTTTTAGTAAAAGGAAAAATCCTGGTATTTCATCAGTATCTATATAATAAAAAAGTTTATTGCTTTATGTGAATACCTAGTATTTTAGCAGAATGTCTCCTTAAAAGCTTGGCTTGGTTTATATAATTTATTAATTTCTACATATGCAAGTACATGCTTACTGTGTAATTAAGGCAATCTAAATCATCCCGGTCATTCTGAAGCCATTCATAGAACTCTTGTGCATTGTCTGTAGGATCACCTTCACCATAAGTAGCCATTACAAAGATCGTCAGAGAGTTCTCAATTTCACCCATGCGAGTGAGTTCTTCCTTTAAAAAAAAACGGCAATAGATGGCTTGTTTTTGTGATACATCATTTCTTACAGTTGCAAAGTAACCTAAGTCAAATGGTTTGATATAAATTGATGCTTGGTAATATGAAACTGTATGTTCCTGTGAAACTCTGAAAACCATGAATGCCAGAAATAATTGTTACCGTATTTCTTCACCTATAAGCCGATCTCGGCTATAAGCCGAGACCCTGACTTTCAGGGTCTTTACGCTAGACTCAAGCTGCCCCAAAAAAAAGGTAAAACCATCGGCTATAAGCCGAGAGCGAAATTATCAATTGTAACTGGCCATTTGAGCAAGCGAACCTCACGGAGAACATAAGAAATTGACTCACTAAACACAAAACCTAATGAATTACAATAAACACAAAAGAAAAAAAGCGAACCAATCAAGAGATATGAATATCAATTGATCCAACGAACTGTATAAATACTACCACGCGACAACAGATTAACCACAACAACAATAATAATCTCAGTTAAACGTTTCAAAGTATCAGTCGATCGAGTATCCCTTTCGTCGCTGTTACCTTTTATCATCATGCCTAAAGCTCACCGTTCCTCGTATAGTATGGCTTTCAAGATAAAAGTTATCACGGAAGCTGAGGCGGTAGAAAACAACTTGGAAATTGCTCGAGAACATGGACTAAGCAAGTCCATGGGACGACGCTGGAGAAGAGACCAGGTGACTATTCTTTCCGGAGAGCTGAAGATGTCTGCAAAACGTGCGACGATGGGCCGTTTCACTCCGAAATATCCCGAAGTAGACCAGCAAGTGATGGAGTGGTTTTCACAGCAAAGAGAACAAGGTTGGTATTTACTTTTTTGTCTGAAATTTTAAGAGTTTTTGAAGAGTTGAATGATATTGTCTTTCAGTGCGTGGGAAACAGAGACTGATTGGTCAGAAATATGTTGTTGTCATGACAATTTCACAACATGTCACGAAAAGAATGCTGCAGTCACGAATCTACGGTTATCTCGCAGCAAAATAAGATTGTTATTTTATTTTTCGTAGGTATTGCTGTGAGTGGATTGATGCTTCACCTTAAAGCTAAAGAGCTCTCCGATGATCCTGCTTTCAAAGCTTCCTGTGGATGGTACGAGAAATGGAAACGACGCCACTCGGTCAGCATGCGAACCAAAACAACTCTGGCCCAACGATTGCCCGCCGATCTCGAAGAGAACATTGTGCGGTTTCATCGCTTCGTCATTGCAGCAAGAAGACGCGCCGACTACCCTTTATCCCGCATCTACAACATGGATGAGACACCCATGCGTTTTGAGCTGCCATCGAACCGAACACTGGAATTCAGTGGAAGCCGAACAGTGCCAGTAAAATCTTGCGCAGCGGAAAAGCGGAGCTTCACAGTCGTTCTTGCTGTTGCTGCCGATGGAGCAAAGATGCCACCGAAAGTCATCTTCAAAGGCGTCCGTACACCGAGAGATCTGGTTGTGCCGCGTCCTCTTCGTGTTTTCTTCCATAAGAAAGGGTGGATGGATGAACAGGGCATCCGAGAATGGATTCGACAGAGTTTGCCCCGTGCCGAGCGTTCCCTTTTGGTGTGGGACTCATTCCGAGCTCACTTGACCGATTCCGTGAAAGATGACCTGAAGCAGCGAAACATTGACGTCGCAGTTATCCCTGGTGGCCTAACCCCGGTTGTACAGCCCTTGGATAAGTGCCTAAACAAGCCATTTAAGAAATCAGAAATCAGAAAGCAGAAATCTTGTCCTCAGGTGGATCAAGGAAGCATGGGCAGAGATACCACAAGAGATGGTTGTCAAATCCTTCAAGACCTGCGGTATTTCCAATGCCTTGGACGGAACAGAGGACGATGTGGTCTACTCTGAGGAAACCCCAGAAGTAGACGATGAAGACATAGAAGAGAACGAGTTCGAGACAGACAGCGAAAACGAAACGGATGGCGAGTAAACCATTGGGTTGAAAGCCCTTGCATGTATCCGTCAAACGGCTCCTTTCGGAGCCACCAATTTCATAAAAGTGAATAACCAATATTCAGAAGTTATTTTTGTTGTGTTTTATTACTTCTGCTTCATTGCTAACTTGACTACAAGCCGGGGGGGTAAAGTTATTCAGCAACTGTATATTTTTAAAATGTAAAACCCTCGGCTATAAGCCGAACCCCGTTCTCCGTGAAAAATCTCCCAAAATTTTGGATCGAAAACTGAAAAAATCGCTCGGCTTATAGGTGAAGAAATACGGTAATGTTACTGTGTTGCAAGAAAAAAGCCAACCAGGTGCAAGAAAACTGAAGAAGGGAGCAGCAACAGTAATTAGTTTGTGGTTTGAGGTTTGCTACTACGTCCTGATCTTTGTTGTGACAAGTCATAAGACAACAAACTTTCCTTCAATACTTCAGCCAGGTGTTCAGAGTTTTCTGAATAGGTGACAATATTATTTTTTTAAACTCGGTCAAAATTTTTTGGTTTTACTCTCTCACTCCCTCGGCAAGAAAGGAAATTAAACATTGGGTAACAAACTAGGCAGAGAGTGATTACAATAATGTAGCATGGCACACAAAAGAGGAGAAAATGGACTGACAATATAAATTACCAACTTTTGTTATTTATTTTATAGTTTTACACTACATTAAAAACCTGCCTGTACACTGTAAATAACCTACACTTTTCCAAGCTTACCAAGGCCTACACTGTAATTTCCCAGTAAACACCAGTTACAGTTATTGTGGTTTATTGAAAATTATATGTAGGCTTCGACTACCTGTACAGTATTACAGTTCTTGAAAAGGTACTCGTTTTCTTTAGAAAAAATGTTTTCATTGCTGGAAGAATATTGGTATTTTCATACAGCAGTATAAAAACAATATTCATATATGTACACACAAGTGGGACGATACATTCTTTACATCCCGATGAATTTGTGACATTTGTTTGCATCATTTGTATGTTCCAATAAATTATTCTAAAACCCATTTCACAAAATCCTGAAAAGATCTGCTAACAAATACATGTACAGCTGTACACTAACTCACCATATCACACTCTTCTGGATCTAGTACTAGAGCTTTCAACCCATAACGCTGAGCATCCTTTGCCAAGCGACCAGCAAACTCTTCTGCTGTTCCTGTTTGAGACCCATAGAATATTGCAATACATTTTCCCTGCAAAAGAAATGCCACAGGCAGCAATGACAGCAAGCTGGCACTAAAAACAATGAGTGATAATAATGTGGGTCCACATATCATCTGAAAAGTACTATGAATACCTTTGTTATTGAACAGGTAATAGAATTAAGTACATATGCATATTTTAAAACCCAAGTAAAAGTATGTTACTTAACCATTCAAAAGTTGCTTCGTAGCGAGTTTGCCTTCATGTAATGGCAACAGTTTGAGCTTGTGGCCTTGTGCTTCGCTTTTTTTAAATTGTTTTCAGGGCTGTACTCTAGCAGTGCCTAGTAGCTCATGGTTCCTAATGTTTGCCCTCGGGTGACTAAAAAATCTTAGTTTTTTCATACAAATTATATGCTGGGAACCCTATATTTTACAGGTTGAGTGCACCAAGCTCCCTTCAGTTTTCTTTAGAGCACAGCCATGGTTTCAGTGTAGCTACAATTGGTCCATAAATGGCAGTGTCCCCACTGCCCCCTGTGTAGGATGAATGCATCATCCAAGTCTGTACTCAAAAGAGTATTATGGTGTATTTCAAAAGGTCTACAATGCAGCTGTAAGACTTTTTTTTCCTTCACAATAGCACTTTAAACCCAAGTATAGGTGCCAATAGCACAATACCACAAAGGTTAATATCAACTTCAGCAAAGGGTTTAAATTTTGCACTTTGGGGATTTAGAAGGTATAAAAAATAACAAATGGCTGACATTGGACTTACAGATTTTTTCATTTTTCCAATAAAACTTGTGTCTTCTTGAGCAACTCTAGTCGTAGGCCTGTTGAGTGAACAGGACTTACTAAACAACTATACGATACTTTTAACAACAACAACAACAACAATGCAGAAGTGTCAGACAATATGCGCAGCTGCTAGGTAGAACTAGGCATGAGGTGGAGGTTTAACTTTACAGAATGGATGATAAAACTGTTTATCGGCACCAAAACCTGGGGGATTCTGCTCCCCGAGACTTTGTTTAGGGGCAGGCTACACAGCCCCCCGGCCCTCCTTCTCCACTGCCTATGAAGTATTGTGCACAGTCTAGATTGATATCCCTCAGTTCCTAAATTTGAAGAATTTTGGTCCAGACATTCATGTGAGAGAATCATTTTGAGACGGACCAAAGGGAACATCTGCTTGAGCTTGAAAACTTTTGTTGCACCATTTCCCTCGACCAGAATGATTGTCCCTTGGTCTCCCAGGACTACATACGCAATATGAAAACATATAAAAGTTTTCAAGATTAATAATTATGTAGTAGCTGTCAGTCAGTTCCAGTGTTAATTCCTCATATTAAATTAATTAATTAACCAAAAGGTGAGAATAGGAGGCGATTAGTTGTTCATAAGAACCATCAGGTGTTGGTTCACTTATAAATATGTGGTTGATCAACCAAAACATAAAACTTACAGTGATAGTTTCTAACCGTTAAAGCCAAATAAAGATTAAAGAAGCGGCTGATTTGCATTCTCTGCAAACACTGGCCCCGGCACATCATACATGCACAAAGTACAGGTGAGCATCAAGGCTGACTTACGATTAGCACAGAAAAAACTAGCAAAACTAGAAATTTCGATAACTCAGTGTAACTTACTGTAATGCAGGATGAATATATTGCAGTGATCGTGATTAATCTTAAGCTATCTGTAATCTAAAGTTTATTGCATAATACTAAAACGCAAAATGCAGTAGTCAAATCAATGTCGAACAAGCGAAATAGCGACACAACAATTATTAAAGCGAAAACATACTTACGCTAACACGAGTTTCTGTGAAAGAACAGTCTCTGTTTTTTTCCTTCGCCCACAGAACCAGTAAAGCACAACACCGACAAAAGAAGCAAATAGAACGATGTCGATTGTGCCAACCAGGGGTTTCTCCGTGACAGTAGCTGAAGACATGGTGAAAAAATGTCCAAAACACTCAGTGATTTCACAGTTTTAAACCTGCACACGTTGCTTGAAAATACGTAGGCCTGATCTAAACGGAACCGGATATTGCTCCGGGGCAAATCAGCCTGCTCAGCAAAGTTCAAAATAAGGGGATGAGGAAATGTAAACCGAAGCTTCACATTATGCAAACACCGAAAACAGATTGCATGCAAATTGCTTTGTAACCAGGTGATCACGGGAAGAACTTCGGGTGCAGAATCCCGCGGGATAATGGCATTCCCGCTATTGAGAGGACACTGGGAAGGATACCATATGAACGAGGCTGAAGGGCTGAAGCGAGGTTGAAAAATTCCGCCGCTTTGACAAACCAACATGGCGGCAATCAAGGCACTAAATCCGAAAGCAGAAGTTGCAAGATCGGCCGCTGCTTTGCATCTTAACATTACAGCAGCTAGAGGTCTTCAGGATGTTCTTAAAACAAATTTGGGTCCCAAAGGGACAATGAAAATGTAAGTAAAAACTCGCTTGCTTGCCTCTAATTTAACTTTAAGACACGTGCTTTTACATGTCAACTCTCGAGGGGTCGTCAAGCGTGCAAAGAGTTGTGTTGTGCAGAAAAATGTTGCCATTGAAAAAAGTTCTTTTAATTGATTTCCTTTTCGTCGTTCTCGATAAAGGTCAATGACGTTTTTCCTCCTTGTAAATATTAAAAAGGGAGTGTCAGGTGAACTTTCCAAGTGCGATGCAAAGGTTTGAATTTTTAAAACATGTTTTCCCATGTCCTAGCTTTTTAGCAGGGTTATGAACTGTAGCAGGGCCTTTAGCGTCTCCTGTATTTGTAATGTCGCTTTTCTCGTTTTAGAATACTGAATTTAGATATGAGCAATGGAATTCTATGCTACCGACTAATCGGTGTCAGCTGTGTGATTTGCTTGACAGCAACACCTTTTCTTCTCTCTCTGTTAATGCATAGTTCAATTTGTCCTCTTGCCATGCCCCCCCAGGCACATTCCTGGGGATTTGCAAATTTTTTCTTTCTTGGTGGTCTATTCCCCACCCCCAGGCACACAAAGAGAAACAATTCCCCATCCCCGAACTCCTGATCCAGGGTTTTCACAGTCTTGAAAAGTCCTTGAATTTTAGGGGAAGGCCTTAAAAAGTCGTTGAATTCCATTTTTCCTTGAAAACTCCTTAAATTTCTGTGCAAGTTCTTGAAAAGTCCTTGAATTTTGTTCAACTTTGAATGTAGTGGCCTGGAAAGTGTTTTTTGGTGCGTTTTGGTTGTCCAAGACAGAATATAAAGTAGCGTAGAGAATTTGAAGGTTATTTATGTAAAGTGCTCAATGTTTTATGCAATAATTAACTATCAATTTAAGACAAGTGACCTAAGGACAGCCAATAATGCACAGAACACCCAACACAAATTAGGGGTTGCGTTCTCGTACCTTGAATGCAAAAACAAACATTAACAGTGAAACAGGCATACAAAGAAATGTGACAAATGAACAGAAAAGAGGAAATACTTTAAGGTTCTGCATGTATGATTGCATAATATTTCAACACACTGTCCCATGTAATAACATGACAAAAAATCATAGATAAAAGATAGTTAATTGACGTGTACACGCGATGTTTCGGCAATGCTGCCTTGGTCATGGAAAATGTATGTCAATCCCTTATCACGTAACTTGCGAGAAGACTTTAACTTTTCAAAATGTGCATGTAAAAATAGAGAGGAGTGTGTGACCACAAGTCATATGAAAGTGAACTCTTGGTTGAGTCCACCTGTCTATAAAGTGTCAAACTTATTGATAGGGTATATCTCCTTGCATTTTGCTGTTGTTCAGGGAGACCGGCTCTTATGCTGCCACTTACGTATCGTTTAACTTGAGGTCTCTCCTCGCAAAATGGGCAGCCATTGCTGCACCAGTATCTTCTTGATTTAAAGCAGGTGTTCCCAAAACTGGTTGTCAAGTCTACGGTCTATGCAATGTACATGTATTCTTGGTTTTCACATGACATCACCAAAGTTCAAACTAAGAAACTCTTGATTCATCTAAGTTTCTACTTTCATGAGGTATTACAGCACCTACACACCTTTATTTAATCAAATTTTCGGTTTGAACAAGTTCTTCATTTTGGGATAGAGGATGTTTGAATTTCCAGGCTTTTGCATGATGTGGCATTCAGCTGGCGGCAGAGAAAGCTCTTAAAAATGTTTTATTTTGGAAATTGAGAATCAACCAAATTTAAATCAAACTTGACGTGAAATCAAATTCAACCTGTAACATATACAATCCCATTTTGTTGTTTTTTCACTGATTAAATAAAATTGTTCTCTTTTTATGGTAGGTTAGTGTCAGGAGCAGGAGACATAAAATTAACTAAAGATGGAAATGTTCTTCTTCATGAAATGGTGGGTGGAAACTGAATATGGCCTTTTGGCAATTAACTATTCAATTATTTATTATTGCTATGGAAATTGTATGATGAAGGATGGCTTTTGACTGAAATATTTCAAAACAGTTTTCATTTAGTAATACTGCACTAACCATTTTACTTGAGTCGAAGAGAGTATAGAGTTAGCAAATCAGTCATGAGTTTTTAACAGAGATTGATCTACAGTATAAGGATCCCAAACAGTTATGTTATTATTTGTACCGCTCTGTAACTCTGAATAATGTCATTGTTTTTCTTTATAGCAAATTCAACATCCAACAGCATCCTTAATTGCCAGAGTTGCTACTGCTCAGGTATTGTCTGCTTTCTGTTATCAACTTTATTACAGTTTAATGTACAAAGATCTAAAATTATGAAAAATGCTTATGAATTCCACCCATTGCTCAATCCTTGTCAATTTTTTCCGGTAGGGTTGGATGTCACTTGTCTCTCAATAGTCCCCCTTGTTTTTGATTGTTATGTTTTGACTGCATCCTGCTTAGGCGATGGTGAAGATTTACTGAGCTGTGCTACACAGCACACCACTGAGGGAACGGTTTTATACACTCCATGTAGTAATGCAAACTGAGTATTGAACATACCACCCTTAAGTGAGGTTCATAATACCCCAATCACAATTAACCATGGTGTTGCTAATAGTTAACACATTGTAGCTCAGTAAATCAGCAACGTCACCTGATGAAGACCCACAATTCGTGGTTGAAACATTGCAATCAATAGTAAAATGACTATCATGAGACAAAATGATGGTAAATAATAATACCAATATAAATAATATATTTCATTATATTATGTTATTGTCAATTTTTGCCTACAACTCATTTCCCCCTGGTCCAAAATCAGCAGAGTTTATGGTGTTCAAATAAAAAATATCTCAGCAGGTATTTACATCAGCTTAGAATGCTATACCTCTTTTGAAAGGGCAGAAAGCATACTTTCCCGAAAAATTTTTTTACTTTATACCAACTCATAATATTTCACGGAAAAATTAACAAACATTTGTATTTATTAAAATTATGGAATCATTCTGATTGAAAAATTAAGTTTTGCACAGTAGTATTTGGCTTGAGGAAAAAACTTAAAAACAGACGTTCTTCTTTGATGTCTGAGCAAAACAATCTGCTTATGTGTTACAATTTTTTTTCGTGATACTATCAGGTTATGCAAATTAGTTAAATAAATACTCATTTACACAGTGCAATTCTACTCTAAGCGTGATTTGTTTATTATGGAGTGAGATGACAAAAACTGTAATATTAGCAACTTCTTTTTTAGAAATTTCAATCTCTGAACTCAGGAACATCTGTTCAAAGACAGATTTCAGGAGAAAAAACGGGCTTTTTGTGATTAAAAGCCAAACTGAGACCTATTTTATTACATTTAAAAAGCACATGGCTGGCAACACTTTTTTGAGACACTAAGATTTTCACTGATGGTTTGCCTCAATTTTTGCGGTCATTCAAAAGCTGAGAAGCCAAATGACATCCAAATCTATTGTAAAGCGTACCAATAGTCCAAATTCGTTGCCAAAAGCATTTCTTGATCACTAAAAGCATTGTAACCTTTTCAGCCATTTGCCAGCCATTTTTTACCGTTTTCAGGAACAAACTGAAACTAGTCAGGTAAATGGCTCAAACAGTCTACTCCCTGTGTGGCACATTTGGCAGCGATCAAAATTAACACAAATTTTTCAGAATTTTTCCTTATCGATCTGACCCAGGGGAAATGAGTTAAAGCTCAAAGTAAATTGTGGTTTTCAGCTTCTTCGTAATTTATTGTATTCCAGGATGATATAACTGGAGATGGCACGACATCGAATGTGCTAATAATAGGAGAATTATTAAAACAGGTTGGTCATTTCCAGGACAATTTATATTATTTTAACTTTTATGTTAAACCTATGGGTATGAGATAACATTATATTATTACATGTACATCTATGTTAAATTTTTAAGTAAATTAGCTAACTTAAGTTTTGTAACTTACTTTATTTAAAATTCTTAAGACTGTAAGCTGTGTATCCAACTCAGTTAGAGGGGATCTGGTACTTCGTGAACAAAGCATATGTTGTAGTTAATTTTTTATCTCAGGTAATTTATATTTTTCCTTTGTTTCAACTTCATTATCATATATTACCATAACCAAAAACAAAAGAAAAACAAAAATTACCTGAGATAAAAAATTAACTGGACCATGTACATTTAGCCTCATGATTAGCACTTGTGCCAGATAATAATCTGTGCATGTCATCCTTCAGCAACATATTTAAAAGTAAGATAATGGATGAGGCCTTTAACTGCTGTGATTAAAAATAAAAGTTTAAATCTGAGCTTACGGCGATCGACAGCATCATCAGGGATAAGAAAGGACAGATTTAAAAGCTTTGAAACTTTAATAAAATATTAATCATCGTCATCATCTACAACATTATATCTAAATCATCATTGTTCTCTGTTTTCATTAGATAATGTATTATTAAGATATCATTATTTTTGTATTTCTGTATTGAATGGTCTGAAGTGTGACTCATATTGGTTTTGTCTGTCCCCTTAGGCTGATCTATACATATCCGAGGTATGCATTTGTTAGTGTCATTGATTTCTATTCTTGCTGAGTTTTCAATGGATACAGTGAAACCACTATAGTTCATCTTTCTCTTCAGGGTTTGCATCCTCGTCTTGTAACAGAAGGATTTGAATTAGCAAAGAAAAAAGCTCTAGAGGTTAGTATTGTGTCATTCCTGAAAATATCCTCCCCCCCCCCCACCATAGATGGTCTTTCAGATAGACCCCCAGCCTATGTGGAATTTCCTATCCAGGGGGTCTTGTATACCCCCACCCCCTTGGCAGGATTCCTGCCAAGACCAAGATTCTAGCCAAGAATCTCGGTAAGAATCTTGGCAGGGATCTTGGCAAGCATCTTGACAAGAATGTTGGCAAGAATCTTGGTAAGAATCTTCGCAGGGATATTAGTAAGAATCTTGGCAGGGATCTTGGCAAAAATCTTGGTAAGAATCTTGTCAAGAACCTTGGCAGAAATCTTGGCAAGAATCTTGGCAGGGATCTTGGCAGGAATCTTGGTAAGAATCTTGGCAGGGATCTTGGAAAGAATCTTGGCATGAATCTTGGTAAGAATTTTGGCAGGAATCTTGGTAAGAATCTTGGCAGCAATCTTGGCAGGAATCTTGGCATGAATCTTGGTAAGAACCTTGGCAGAAATCTTGGCAAGATTCTTGGCAGGGATCTTGGCAGGAATCTTGGCAAGAATCTTGGTAAGAATCTTGGCAGGGATCTTGGCAAGAATCTTGGAAAGAATCTTGGCATGAATCTTGGTAAGAATCTTGGCAGGAATCTTAGTAAGAATCTTGGCAGCAATCGTGGCAGGAATCTTGGCAGAGATCTTGGCAGGAATCTTGGCAAGAATCTTGGCATGAATCTTGGCCAGAATCTTGGCAGAAATCTTGGCAAGAATCTTGGCAAAAATCTTGGCATGAATCTTGGCAGAGATCTTGGCAGGAATCTTGGCAAGAATCTTGGTAAGAATCTTGGCAGGGATCTTGGCAAGAATCTTGGAAAGAATCTTGGCATGAATCTTGGTAAGAATCTTGGCAGGAATCTTGGTAAGAATCTTGGCATGAATCTTGGTAAGAATCTTGGCAGGAATCTTGGCAGGAATCTTGATAAGAATCTTGGCAGCAATCTTGGCAGCAATCTTGGCAGAGATCTTGGCATGAATCTTGGCCAGAATCTTGGCGAGAATCTTGGCATGGATCTTGATAAGAATCTTGGCAGCAATCTTGGCAGGAATCTTGGCAGAAATCTTGGCAGGAATCTTGGCAAGAAGCTTGTTAAGAATCTTGGCAGGAATCTTGGTAAGAATCTTGGCAGCAATCTTGGCAGCAATCTTGGCAAGAATCTTGGCAGGAGTCTTGGCAAAAATCTTGGCATGAATCTTGGTAAGAATCTTGGCAGGAATCTTGGCAGAGATCTTGGCAGGAATCTTGTTAAGAATCTTGGCAGGAATCTTGGCAGAGATCTTGGCATGAATCTTGGCCAGAATCTTGGCAAGAATCTTGGCATGGATCTTGGGAACAATCTTGGCAAGAATCGTGGCAAAAATCTTGGCAGAAATCTTGGCAAGAATCTTGGCAAGAATCTTGGCATGAATCTTGGCAGGAATCTTGTTAAGATTCTTGGCAGGAATCTTGGAAGGAATCTTGGCAAGAATCTTGACAGGAATCTTGGTAACAATCTTGGCAGGGATCTTGGCAGGAATCTTATCAAGAATCTTGGCCAGGATCTTGGCAAGAATCTTGGCAGGAATCTTGGCAAGAATCTTGACATGAATCTTGGCAAGAATCTTGGTAAGAAGCCTGGCAGGAATCTTGGCAAGGATCTTGGCAGGAAATGCGGCCGGGAATCTTGGACGGAAATCTCGGCAAGGCCCTGAATTTAATTGTACCCCACAATCTCACCACCGTGAACACATAGAACAGGCTATTGTAACATTTGTGCTGGGAGGAACTTTTTACATCAGGCGCCTTTTTCATGACCAGTAAATGTTCATGTAACTTTTAAAAGGCTCAATCTTGCTTAACCTCTTCATTTGCTTAAAAACTCTCTTTGCGCTACCATGCCGTATAACATGACTTTAACATGCTATGAAGCGTGTCATTTAGCATGCTGCTGGAGGGGTGCATGTGCTTAGACCCCCTAGATGCTATGACCCTATGGGCCTTCAAAACCTGGACAATTACCATGTATTACCCAGCTAAGAGTGATATGTTCAACCTATTGACAGCCCTGTCTTGTGTAGAGAATGTTGCAAGATCTTGAAAGAATCTTTTCCAGATTCTCAGGATCTAGTAACAATCCTATGGCAAGAGTCTTGTGTCAAGAAACTTACAAGACCTTGTAAGAATCTTGTGTCAAGAATCTTGTGTGATCTTGTAAGAATCTAGTGTCAAGAATCTTACAAGTTCATGATTTGTGTCATGCCAATTGACAAAAACTGGATGGGACCAGATTCGATTGGACTGTCAAAAGTTGGATTGGATTGGATTAAAATAAATAACTTTCAGGATTGGACCAGACTGTTCTTTTGAGCACAAGTGGATATTTTGGAAAGAAAGTTTAAAGGAGATGAGGGTTACATTTTTAGTCATAATCTCTGCTCTCTTTCCTTCCTTTGAGGGGCTATCTGGTGCTATTTGATATCTCTTTGAAAAACAAGAGTCTCTTTGCATTAACTAAATTCCAAGAATTGGAATTGTGCCAAGAATCTTTCAAAATACAACAAAAACCACTCAATAACAATTTGTTTTTATTTTTTCAGTTTACCTTACAGTGTACAGTATGACTAAACAGAAATTGTCTGCTTTGACGGTTTTAACAAAAGATAAATGTTCACAAAAACAAAAACTGGCCAGAATCTCTGTTGGTAATTTTTCACTTTTCATTATTTATGGCTGATATGTATTCCTGGGCTGATTTGTTTGAATATCATTATTTTATCCACAGACTCAAAAGTGAGAATTAAATGTACATACCTTCCAGTAATTTGTGAACACTTAGTGGTGTGGTAAGAATAATAAGCAACATGCTGATCTTGTTTCATTATTTATTTAAGGTTTTAGAGGATATAAAAGTTACCAAGAAAATGGACAGAGATACACTTATAAATGTAGCAAGAACCTCCCTGAGGACAAAGTTACACTCTGAACTTGCAGACTTGCTGACAGAGGTGAGAAGGATCATTACAGTCGGGACCATGACTAAGATGTAATGTCCTTAATACAAGTGAAAGTGTGTATTGGTAGGGTGGAAGAAAAATTTCCTTAGCATAGATAATATTTGCATTAGCTGGGTATCAGGCATTTGTATTAACAACAAGGTGAACTGGTGTGCACCAAAGGAATAGTACATCCAATGAAAGTAATGTTCCAAAAATGACTGAAAAGTATTTTAAAAAATTTGTGTTTGAATGTTCAAAATTGCTAGTAAGTAAGTAAAGCCTTTATTTAACCCATTCGCCCCTGAACCGCCCGTAACCTCCCGTGCGGATCCAGGTCCTTTCTACCCATTGTGACGTCATCAGTTTTAACGGTCAAGGACAACTTTCTTCACTAACTTGTGCAGAGTGAAGAGATCTTTCAAACCATACCAGAATGAGCACAATTCAGTCAAGGACACCGGTGAAACAAGCAGAAAACCACGTGACATTGACCTGAAAATTTCCATGAAAATCTTGTTCCATTACCCACCTACCTTTCCTTTCACCTAATCCTAAGATCCTAAAAGCTTTCCTAAAAACTCTTCCCACCAAAATGAAGCCTACTAAATGCCCAACAAGAGAAAAAAAAATGAGGCAAGAAAAGCGAAAAAAGAAGGGAGGAGAGAAAGCGAAAAGTAAAAGTCAAGACTGCTGTGTCACTTTTAAACCCAAAAACTATCTCGAAATTTTGCTTTCTGCGCATGCCCGAACTTCGCAAGTTGATATTTTGCATCTGGATCACAAGGCCACGAAGTGTTCGACCTGTAAACCAGTTTGTGGTAAGTTTTAGCTCTTTATAGAACGACAGTGAGCAGAAAACCACTCGACTAGCTTCAAAACGCGTTTTTCGGCAAAATCTCCAGGAGCGAATGGGTTAAAGAGGGTGGCACCTAATAGCCAAAGGCTAATAAACTTGTGGCCCTCATAAAATACACAACTATTTACAATGTAATAAATATTGTAAACTAACATATATAAACATTTAAGGTGGCTCGACTGGATTTTTTGGGGATGATACCTCCCAACTTTGAGCATTAACTACGTCGGCATGAGTAAAGATATGGAAAAAAGGTTACCACAACTGTATTATATAAAGATGAAAATTTCTTATGATCTGGGTTATATTGCAATCGGAGTCGCCATGACAACGTAATGACGCCTTTATGTTTTTCATTTATCTTTGTGTTTCTCTGTTCCAAGAGTTTTTTGATGAAATTGCTTAAGGGAGTATGTACCTGCTATAATTGCCTCCATTATGGCGTAGTTTGAACAAATTCTATGAGAGCGTTTTCGAAATATTTTGGAATGTAGTTTTAAGAATGATAAAAACAGTGAAATAGCATGCTAGCCACACAATTCGCTAATATTTTAAGAAAATGATAAGCCTTGGGAACGAGGCTTCATCTCATAGTGGTTTGACTCCATTGGAAACTGCATCCAAAAAAAGAGGGGAATTGCTCTGGGCGATCGCGAGTAAGAAGAATTTTATTAACTTGCATTCAGCTGCTTTTGATACAGTTTTTGGACGTAATTTGGTCCATGACTAAGAATTTCGCATTTTTCCAAAAACCTCTCGATAAATTTTTTTATAAATTCGACAATCCCGAGATCCATCGTCAAGAAATATTCCCTGCAAGTTTCAAGAACATTGAAAATAGGGAAGGCTTTTAAATAGGGCCTCAAATATAACCAATTTTCCCCCCAGATTTTGTGTTTACAAGTGAGCGTCCTCATTATTCACTGGCATTGTTTTCAAGTTTCATATGCACGTGCACAACCAGCAAAAGATATAAATTTGCATAATAAAGAACTCTCGATTACTTTCCAAAGAAATATCAGGAATATGCTAATAGTTGGCTTGTCGTCACAGATAGCAGTGAGAGCCGAAACGGTGAATGTCACGGCTCATCGCGTAGGATGGAATACTTAATTATCTTACTCGGGTTATAACATCACAGAAACTATCACAAAGAGTTGCTCTGATGTTATAATGTATCATTAATCTCTTTACCCGGTAATTAGCATATCCCGAAGATTTAACCGAGGGTCCTTTTTGATGCAAATTCTGTCTTTTTGCTAAATGTGCACGTGTATATGAAACTTGAAAACAATGCCAGTGAATAATGAAGACGCTCACTTGTAAACATACGGTTGGTGTACATTATGTAGTCACAATAGCAGCATTCTCATTAACGTACTAATGTTTTGTTGGCAGGTTGTTGTAGATGCTGTATTAGCTATTCAGGCACCAGACAAACCAATTGATCTTCACATGGTAGAAATAATGGAGATGATGCACAAATCTGGAACAGATACAACGTAAGGAACTATAATGACACATAACTCAAATAATAACTTAACAGGTCATTTAAAATGTCAAAACTAATTGGCCTAATGTGGGGTGATAGCAAACACACCTTTAGATCTAATTAACCTGGTCTGGAAAAAATTGACTTAGGTTGAAATAAACTGATCTAGGTTAAAAATAGATTGACCTAAGAAACAAATTAACCTGCAAAATATACACTCCTCACGTTGTCACAAAAACTTGTCATTTTGTTCGTGCATTCAGTAAGGTTTTTCCTCTACAAAGCGATGGTCCCCTAAAAGTGATGATAGGCACATGTATTTACCTTAGCAGTCATGTACACAGTTACTATGGTGAGTTAAGAAGTTTAAACCCTGGGTCAGATGTCTTGTCACCATGAAAAGTGCTTCACTTCCAGCTAAATGTCCCTGAATTGTTCACAACTGAACTTTATCAAAAAAAGACACTGCTCCTTGTTAATAAAACCTATTTTTATTCATGTGCCAGTGTATGATTATGCTGTAGGTCAAAATGAAATTGAGTTGAAATTGGTTCCAAGGTTGAAACCATTATTTTTAACCTGAATTTTATTTTGACCTACAACAATCATTATAGCATGTAAGTACTAATTGAGGACACTGTTTTACTTATCCTACTGATGCAGAATTGCCATTTCTATGATGGTCATGCAAGCTAAGTGAAGGTCTAGCCATTTGCTTGGAAAAGGCAGACCTTCTTCCTTAGTAATGCTAAGTATTTGAGTATTTTTCCAACCTTGATGATCAAAACTACAACCTACCCTGCAGACTATCCCCCTACCAAAAGAACTAAACCTGTGACAGTTAAGTAGGAAGAGCTGCTCCCATAGTGTCTACAATCAGCGACAAAATGAGTTGAGACACTTCGCCCTAAACTGGGCTTTCTTACGTTTTACTGACTTCAAAAGGGGGAAATATAACTTTTCCTCCCCCATCCCCTCCATGCAATGTTGTGCTGCTGTTCGAGCTACTTATAGAAAACAACAAACATCCTAACTTTGAATGGAGGGGACAGAGGAGGAGTGTGGATACTTTTGTTCTCTGAAGTTACCCTATTTGAGGACAATATCTCAATTGTTTTGTGGGCAGTTGTAGGTATGAGGGAGTTAGTTCACATTGTTTCTTAAGCAGAAATTAGAATGTAAGTATGTATACATTTGTGATCAGATGCCTTGCATTGTATTAAATACATTCACTTGCTTGTCCATAGTTTGGTTAAAGGACTTGTGATGGACCATGGAGCACGTCATCCTGACATGTCCAAGAAAGTCACAGATGCTTACATACTTACTTGTAATGTGTCCATGGAATATGAAAAGAGGTCAGTCAGTCATAATACAGTGGTATCTCCAAATACCTGCTGGTATTGTTTCTAAGAATGTTTGATAGAAAATATCCATATTGACCTCATGGAGTATCAGTGATTATTGCTAGGGGGAGGGGATCTTGAAAACCAAAATTTAACATAGGGTAAGTGGAATTTTCACTGAGGGGCTCCAGCCAATGAACCCTTGATGGAAGGAGTTTAGATATGGATATGAAACACCCCAATCTTTTGCAGGTAAAGTAATATCAGTACTGTGCCCAGTGTGAAGAAAATGGCCTCATTTGTAGACCTTCTTCGGGCTCATCTTCCACTCCAGATACAAACAATGCTACATAGAACTTCTCTTCCTTTTACCTGCAAATAAGGCTAGTCTATTAACAGCCTGTTTCCTTTCTTGCTTTGCAGTGAAGTAAATTCTGGCTTTTACTACAAAAGTGCTGCCGAAAGGGAAAAGCTTGTCGCTGCTGAAAGAAAATTTACAGATGACAAAGTACAGAAAGTTATTGACCTGAAAAGAAAGGTGAGAAAAGAATGTCAAATATTTTGGTTGTTCAAGGTCTGGGCATTTGATCCATTACTTGTTTTTGTTTGAAGAGACTGGTAAATTGTCATACTAACAAAATTTTTATTAATTTACCAGGTTTGTGAAGGAACTGATAAAGGATTTGTAGTGATAAACCAGAAGGTAATTAGTACTTATGTAGTTGTAAACATTTATTAGAACCTTACACTACAAGTGTGCCTCCTTCTTTATGCTACATGTACAAGAATATTGACATAGGTAATCCAGAAACCCATAGAATAAATATTTAGGTAAGCCTTGTCATGACTACATTTTATGAGGATCACTGAACTACCAGTAACACATTGTCTTTATTTTTTAGAAACAAGTCTTAGATAGATGACTTTTACAAGTCTTTGGTCCCAGAATTCAACTAAAACTAAAGAAACGTAAATGTTTTTGGTGCTTTTGAACCCTATTAACTTTTCGGTAATATTTTCCCCACAGGGAATTGATCCTTTGTCACTGGACATGCTGGCGAAGGAAGGTATAGTTGGACTTCGTCGTGCAAAAAGAAGGAACATGGAGCGACTGACTCTTGCTTGTGGTGGAATTGCCATGAATTCCTTTGATGATCTGACACCTGAGTGCCTGGGCCATGCTGGGCTGGTTTATGAACATGTATTGGTGAGAATTATGTAAAAAGTACACCTGCCTCTGTCATTTTATACAGTTTTTTATTTTATGTCTGTCATCTTCAGGAAAAAATAAGTTTTCTTTTTCAGTAAAAATATTGCTTTTTTGTTACTGTAGGGAGAGAGTAAATACACATTTATTGAAGAACTGAAAAATCCTCTTTCGGTTACCATCCTTATCAAAGGTGAGTCATAACTGTAACGTGCATTTATGATATTCTATTTTATTTAACCCATTCGCTCCTGGAGATTTTGCCGAAGAACGCATTTTGAAGCTAGTCGAGTGGTCACTGTCGTGCTATAAAGAGCTAAAACTTACCACAAACCGGTTTACAGGTCATACACTTCGCGGCCTTCTGATCCAGATGCAAAATATCAGCTTGCGAAGTTCGGGCATGCGCATAAAGCAACATTTCAAGATAGTTTTTGGGTTTAAAAGTGACTCAGCAGTCTTGACTTTTAACTTTTCGCTTTCTCTCCTCCCTTCTTTTTTTGCTTTTCTTGCCTCATTTTTTTGTCTCTTGCTGGGCATTTAGTAGGCTTCATTTTGGTGGGAAGAGTTCTTAGGAAAGCTTTTAGGATCTTAGGATTGGGTGAAAGGAAAGGTAGGAGAGCAATGGAACAAGATTTTCATGGAGATTTTCAGGTCAATGTCACGTGGTTTTTTGCTTCTTTCTCCGGTGTCCTTGACTGAATTGTGCTCATTCTGGTACGGTTTGAAAGATCTCTTCACTCTGCACAAGTTAGCGAAGAAAGTTGTCCTTGACCGTTAAAACTGATGACGTCACAAAGGGTAGAAAGGACCTGGATCCGCACGGGCGGTTACGGGCGGTTCAGGGGCGAATGGGTTAATTGAATAATTATGCTTTGGTCACTTGTCATTTTTCCAATGGACCAGCAGTGCATAAAATGAGGGTGCATCAACTCTTACACGGAAGAGCCCTTGGTGCTTGTGAACCCTCTTTCTAATTAGCCCACATAAACTCTTCCTTCGTATATACATGTAGACTTCACTCTTCTTACCCCATCCTATCTTGCTTCCTCCTCACCCCAGACACTACACATGTATATGTACTACTTCAAATTTTTTTTCACCTGCAACTACAGCCAACTCTCGCTTTGCAGACACCCTGCTATAACGGACACTTTGATAATATGGCCAGCAGCTAAATCCCAGGCTAAAAATACATTACAGATGTTTGACTGAAAAAAACTCCAATTATTACAGACTCTCGCTAATGAGGACACTAACTCAAGGTTCCTACAGTGTGCGCTATAAAAGAAGTTGACTATATTTGTTTAGCTTTCCTCCTTTCCCTTTCTTGGCTGTGGTGACTGGGGGTTCTTGTGGAGCCATCTCTAATATTTGATTGGTCAATGAAGTTGTTGCTGGAAGCCCCCCTAGATTGTAGACCATAATGGAGGACCCCAGACATACATGTACTTCCTCTTTTTGCCATAAGTAGCTGCTTCTCACCTCAGACTAACTTTGTATCTCAGGTGACTCCCCCACCCCTTCCCTTCCCAAATCAAAATCCTACATTTCATCTTTTCAGCTGTAGGTACTTCAGTCCATGGGAAATGGGTGATTTGTTTAAGTGTGGTATTCCCTATAGCTTATGCTGTTTTTGCTGCATTTCAGGCCCAAACAAACACACACTGACACAGATAAAGGATGCAGCACGTGATGGCTTGAGATCAGTAAAAAATGCCATTGAAGATGGTAAGCAATGAAAAAGACCCTAACACATGCTTTGGCTTTGTACTTTTCGGATTAAGGTCTCTGTAAAGGAAAACGAGGTGCCCACAGAAAAAAATTATAGTCGCGCGAGTATTTTCGCTACAAAGGCAAGTTATATATCAAATTAAAGCTAAAAGACTAAATTACCTTATGAAAGATTTTATTTCATCGAATTTCAAAAGGCGCTTAAGTTTTTTGCTCTCGAACTCAGAGGTATCGAGTTTACTGCTGAAGCTCCAACCCTTTCGCGTTGTTAAATATTCACTTCCTTTTTATTGCATCTGATCGACAGATAAAAGACCTAAAAAAGGGTGTGAGGAAATTTGCATATGTCTCGTATTAGCGGAATTATTGCATTTCAAACTAAAAAGTCGAATCTCGAGCGCAATTTACGCAAAGAAACTGGCATAAAATGAGTTGCAAAGGGAAATCGGAAAATTCCTCACACCCTTTTTGAGTCTATATCATTATCCATCATATCTGAAAGTTTCAAAGCGATAGCTTAAAACCTGTCCCGACTGGAGGTCGGAGAATTTTGATTTTTGCGTCTAAAATAGAGTGACAGAAAATCAGCTCTAAAGATTTAGCGCGAGGTCCACGCTTGGCTGGTTAGCTCAGAAAAGGCTCATTTTAGAAGGGTTAAAAAGCACTTTCTGATTTTCTTTTTCTTCCAAAATAAAATTTAGGACCCACTCATGCCAAAAATCCCAAAAAAACAAAATCGAGCAATGTACTAAAATTTTCATTTACCGAGACCTTAAGTAACTTCTTTCTAATAAGTACTCCCTTTAAAGGTTGCTTTTCACTAGCAACAGAGTTAGCATCATGAGGAACACAGAGCGCAATGATGTTGTGATGATTTAGAGTTTCAATTCCACTAACCAGGATAAGACTCTTGCAATCTGGTGAACAGAACAAAACCAACTGCAACCCCCTTGGAATAAGCATTGTGACTTGTTAATGAGTGACATACTAAAAATAAACTTCTACTGATCTTTAGCACCCTCTTAAGTGTGTTTATTTTCATACTACTGTTATTATGAAGTGTAATGTACTTAAAAACTAGTTACTGTACAGTCTATGTGGTATTTCATCATTGCAACTGTTTATTCTTGTTTTCCAGTTATTTATTTCTCCACCACAGCTTGGGGGAGAAACTAAAATATTTCTATAAGTCTTGTGCTATTCATTGACTAAAACTAATTGTGAAGGCTTCTCTTTGTGGAGGAGGTAACATGTGACTTTCGTGGTAGCTACTAAAAATAATAACGATTCACATTCTGTCCTTTGCAGGAAGTGTTGTCCCAGGTGCAGGAGCATTTGAGGTTGCAGTTAATGCAGCTCTTACAGAGTTCAAAAAGACTGTTAAGGGGAGGGCACGGCTTGGCGTTCAGGTTTGTTATCTGACCATCCACTTGTGAAAATACTTGTAATGAAAATTACAGATTTTGCCAAAGGTGACTTTCAAACATGTAAATTCAAATGATAATTTAGTTAATCAACAAGTTTTTTCCCACAAGTTCTCACTGATAACTTAACTTGCATTTTTTTCAAATGAGTCACTGCACCAAGGTTTTGCTTGTTTAATTAATGGTTTCCTTTGTTTTTGCAGGCCTATGCAGATGCACTTCTTGTTATTCCAAAGATTTTAGCGCAAAACTCGGGTTATGATCCACAAGAGACAATTGTCAAGCTTCAGGTAAACATGATTTGAAGTGCTGAAACTACCTCGACCTATGCTGTCTTTACTTCAGAATATTTTGAGTCAAGTCTTATTTTATTGGTAGTTAAAAAAAAGGACTTAAGGATATTTACAATGACTGATGTTAAAGCTTTCTTATCACTCTGGGACGGTAATAACCAAACTCGCTGAGCTCTTTAATGTTGAAAATGTCTTGTTTGTGTTAGTTATAGAAAGACTTTTAGTTTGAAAGCTATGAAATGGAATGAAAAAGATAGCAAAATGTCCTGTTCATGTTCTGAGCCTGGAACTAAGGAGAAATTGTGATTCAAATCTTGACACCTTAGAGTGCTAGCCTAAAAAAATGTCCTTTCTGGTCACCAGGACAAGCAGATTTTCCTATCTGGCAAGTTAAGTTTTATGCTTGTTTGCCTGATCAGCAGAGGCCTAGAAAAGAATTATTCTAATTAAATTGTAAACTTAAACAAGGAAGAAATGGCCCTGGGCAAGCCAAACTGGAGCAAAGCTTATCCTAAGCTGAAATTCAATTTTTCTTTAAGCTTGGGTGGTTACTGGGCCCTCTAGCCACTGGGCTTCAAAGAAATTTCACTTTCAGTGAACTAGGGTCAATAAGTAAAGTTGAAAGTATCCGAACTGTAGGTAGTAAAATTGATACAGAAAGTTGTTTCATTTTTTACCTTGGATAAGGAGTGAGAAAGACATTATATAATGCTTGTCACTTCAAGAGCATGGGATTACAAACAAAATCAGAATTTCCAACATGGTTTGTAATCTGTAACACTAAAATATTCACCATCTTTTTTACATCTATTGTCTATGGTTACAATGTATCCATTACCGTTAAAATAATTTTATTGTTGTGCATTCGAGAAGAAAAGAGCTAAGCTTGCTTTAATTCTCAACAGCACACTTTAGCTCAGTATGATGAGAACCTGGCTGGTACTAGGGATGTCAGGCACAATCACACTAGGCATCTATTGAAGTTTTTCTTTGTCAGAGCTATTGATGTACTGAACATCTCACTCTTTCAGCAATGTACTTTGATCTAAAAGTTTGTTGCGTCCTCTGTTTTATCCTCCTTGTGGAATTAACTAAGAAGAGTTGATTTTTCTGGATTGCAGGAGGAGTATGCTGATGCAAAGACACCAGTAGGTATTGATCTTGCTAGCGGGGAGGCATTAGTACCAGCTGATGCAGGTATCTGGGATAACTACAGAGTTAAAAGACAACTGCTTCATTCATGGTTAGTATGAAACTCACTTTTAATTCAAGATCAATGATCATAACTTAAACAGAATTCTTTGATCTAGTTAGCTTTTGAATGACTCATTTAGTATTTTACTTGTGTCACTAACATTAAGTTTAGTTTTGAACTGAGAGCGTCTAATGGGTTGCATGGTTGTTCAGCTATAATTCATGGCCAAACAAAACTCACAGGCACTATGAGGAATTTTTCTATTTCTGACAGTGTCTTGTAAGGACTCAGGTACTGCTTCAAGCGAAAACAAAAACAGGGTAACTCCAGCAAGCTTAGAGCAAACACAATCAAACACACAGTCTCTTATGCAATTTGCACGTGCATCCTTGCTCATTACCAGGCTGTACTCACACTACAGTTTCCTTGAAAATGTGTTTGTTAAAAGAAAGTTTAAAAGAACAGCTAATATAAAACCCTCACAAGCTCTGAAACTATTGATTGGAAAGGTTATAGTTTGTTTTTTGCACATCTGTTATGAAGAAGTCTCTTTAGTGTCTACTTTCATGATTTATCAAGTTCCAATAAAATATGGCCCTAAGGTTTCAGAACCTTCATGTTGCTAATATTTACTGGTACTTGGATTTTCTCTGGTTACATTTCAGTACTGTTATTGCGAGCAACCTTCTACTAGTTGATGAAATTATGAGAGCAGGAATGTCTTCTTTGAAAGGATAGAATAACAAAAGTTTACTTCTTGAGGTATGGATGACATTGACAATTCATTACTAATTAATGATACATTTGGTACCCTAATATCGCACTGTTAAGGGTGTAAAAACTAAAAATTGGCAGACCCATCATTTGTTTTATGCCCATTCAAATTCTGCTATTTGTAGTGATGGTTACTCTAATTTTGGGGAAAGGTAAGTCATGTGACCCTGAGTTGCAACAGACCTATTATGTACATTGAAACCTCACTCTGAGTGTAGCACTAAGTTTGAAGAACAGTATAATTGTTTGTCAATTGTGTGGCATACAAAATAAATATTAGGCTTTTTTGCAGTTAGTTTGGCAGTTGTAGAGTACCTTTATACTTGTGTATTTTTTTTTCTTGATTTTCTGGGGAAGAACTTGTTAAAAATTTTAACCTCATCCAGTCCTTTTGAAAAAGGGTCTCAATCCTCAAATTTTAGCCTATCAAATTTTTAATCTCATGATTAGGTTTTTCAGTGTAGGATTTTATGGCTTATTGGCTGTCTTTACACTAGGCTGTTAAGTAAGACTTAAGAGCTGCTAAGTTTTACTTAACCAAAAATTTCGTGTGTGAAGGCCTTAGTAAAATCTCAAGTAACTTTACTTTGCATCTCATTAAAGTCGGAAAGTTGAAACGATTCAAGAAAGTTTCAAGCAACTTGAAAACCATCCTTAATATTGACTTAACTGACTTGCGGTTTGTTGAGGTTTGAGAAAGGCGAAACATTAATTATGTTGCGTGGGAAAATAGCCTTAAGCTAACCTGAAGTAAAAAAGAATTGGTTGTGTGTGAAGCTTTATTTTACTTGATGTAGTTAAAATTTACTTGTCTTGAAATATTTCTTAGCTTATTTAGGCTCTAGTGTAAAGACTACCATTATTTTGATTTTAGCAAGCATATGGCCTTCATCTGAGGTCCCCTTTTATCTGTTATAATCTATTGCAGAGTGGTTCCTCCAAGATGTAGCCATGTGTGTTAAACTGATCTTTACCCCACTGTCAAGATGTTAGCGTCACCTTCATCAAGTAGATAAGCTGGTCATGTATTCAAGTTGAAAGGAACAGAGGAAATTTTCGAAAAAATTCTACATTGTTGTTGAAATATAGTTACATCACAATTATTTGGTTTATTTTCTAAACCACTAAAGTGATTAGCAGCTAATTTCTTCTTAAAGCTTTCAAATATGTTTAATACTCACAATGTTGCAATTCAAAACTGTGCTCAGTCCATATGATCTGTGAGCTTAAGTTTAAGTTGATTTGTGGAACTTCCATTTTGGGTTATGGGGGTTGAATTATAGAGGCTATATTTGGCTCTTCCTTCTTATTTTTAGTTTATGAGGCTTGGGTTAAAGTGGCTTTTTTGGCTCTTTCCTTCCCCAATCCCACCCCCAGAGTACTTTATTCCCCTTCTGATCCATGATCTCACTCACTGTATTTAAGATCACAGTTCCAGAATCAACCTTTGGCCCATCATTAATTCTCTCCTTTTCTCTGCAGAAGGGGTCACCCAGTGAAAGGGGTGGGATGCCCACTGGGACTCTGAGAGCCTATATCGTAATTTTGTTGTGACTATCAAACCTTACTTGTGATGTGTGAGTGACAATTAGGCTCTGCATATCCATGCAGGAGTCAGTACGCTTGCATTTAAGTGTTTTCACCACCCGTTTTGAAAATGACACTTTTCTTTTAAATAGCTGATCATGTTAGCTTACCTACTTAGCTTTCCAGAAAGGAACAATCTTGCTGTGATGTGACTGCCAGGAAGATGGAATCAAACCAAAGCTCATCCCTAATGACTCTATTAGTACTTTACCCATGGGTGCACTTGAATAAAATATTCTCGGTTCATTTCTCTGTTATGTATTTGAGTATATACAGCATCATTCGAAGGAATTATGTTTACTGAAAGCTAAAGTTTGAGTTTACTTTACTCAACTGATAAAACACAATTTTTGGTTTGGTAAAGAGCCCATCAGGGCAACTTGACTATCCCCTACAGTTGCATTTTATGATCTAAACCTTTTCTCATGATTATGTATTGAGACTGTAATTTTGTTAGAAGAAAATTGAGATTGGTCATTGTTGGTACTTAAAAGTCTAATATTTAAACTGAGCAAAACACATTATTTATATATGTTCTGGAAAAAACTTTGAGTAGCAGTGTGAGGTCTTGACCTCCGGTTTTCACTGCATTTTTTAGATGGCCATATGGGGTTCATTCAAGGGTAGTGATTCCTTTTAAGTATTTCTCCCTTTTCTGAGTAACATGTATTCAAGGGAGGGTCATTTTCCACATGACCTCCCTTTCGTTACTGTCATGTTGTTTATCCCATGTTACATAATAGGTGGAGGATAGATTGATTGGCTTGGCCGTTTTTCTTAATACCTGCTTAATTTAAGATGGAACACACTGCTGGGAACTATCGAGGAAAGCTTAAGTGGGCGATGCCTACAAGTTAATATCTCGGCCAAGTGATGTGATCATAGCTAGCCGAGTCTAGAGACCTGTGAGTATGTGAATTGAAAGTGACATGGTTCTGGACAGGCTGAGAAAAACGTAATGTAATAATTTTTAACTCCTTGCACCACCTAAGGATGGAACACACCACTGGGAAATATTTGCTTTTCTTTGGGTTCTTTTAGGCCCCATTCAAATTGATGTGGAAGGATGAAGGGGGATGGTACCCACAGGCCAATGATGCAATAACCGCTAGAATTATAATCAGCAGATCTCCACGGTACTAATAAACAACGATATCTTTTCAAAATCTTATAATGATACACAGTATAAATAGAGGTTTCGCTGTACACAACCCTTACGTTCAAAATATGCCATAATCACATTTATCTATTGCAAGAACCATCCAACCTTCCGCACTCTCCTAAGCTCTGATTACGCCTAGTTATTTATTAGATTTGGTTAATTAGATCAGGTTGAAGTAAGTGTTAGCAGCCCAAGGCTAAAGGCAGAGGCTGATAACACTCATGAAGACCTCCATTCATCTGGATATCGTAAAACCCGAATCTAATAACCATTGCTTTATTATAGATTGCCTTGAAGAACACACTGTCATAGAAAGTAATGACACACTGTAATATAGAACACAGTTTGACTTCTACAGGCAAGTCAGTTGTCTGCCAGCAGACAGTGACTAATCTGCAGGTTGCACTGATTTCCAAAATTAACTTTAGGCTCTTAGCCAATGAGAAGGCAGATAATGAGTTCAATTTATAATAAGTTGCCTTAGGTGGGTGATTTAATGGAATCTGATTCTCGTGAAGCCTGCGATCATGCCCTACCTATATCTGATCTCTAAACAGTGGAAGCTCTCATTAGCGGACACCTTCAGGACGCCAAAAAGGTGTCTAACTGGAGCTGGCCGCTTACAGGAATGTAAAAAAACAGAGTTTGTATAGAAGTTGAGAGAAATGGGGTTTTGTCAAGGTGGCCATAAGAAGAGCTGTCCGCTTTCGAGAGCGTCCCTTCGGAGAACTTCCACTGCATGTCTTTTGTTCATTTTTTTTTTCCCTCTTCTGGAGCAAGAAACAATTTTGTAAAACAGAACAACCAGGGTGGAGAGTATTCAACAAAGCTTTATAGAAGGAGGCTCCGCCCCTAGGTCTAACCCTATACCCTTTTATATACCACTTTTGACAGAAAAGGTACCCTTTTGTATACTTGTATCAGGCAAATGATGTATTTAAGAGATTTTCATCCCTTTAAACTGCTGAAACTGCATTGTCTTTAAAATATGGATAAATCCCAAAACTAGAACGTTTTCTCAACTTTTTCACAGCCACAAAATGCATCTCCTAACCCTGTTGTGTCTTTTACAGACGAAAATGACAGATTTCCCACCTCTTTCATATACTTCAACTAGTGAAACCCCTAGCCTTTCATATATCTGAAACCTGAAAAAGGTACCCCTTTTTGGGCAGAGCCTCCCCATATAGCCTTAATAGGGACCAAACAACAGCTCTACCGGGACAAAACAACAGCTCTTTTGAGGATAAACAGTCTCGCCAAAAAAATTTCCAACAAGTATTAATTTTATTATAATCAATCAGAGAACAATACTCAAATGAAAGAAACCCTTACTAAGCACAGTGTCTTGGTATATTCCTTCCCACAACAAATTTTAATAATTTGCAGAACACACTTTACAGTATTAATGGAGATGCTTTACATTTTTCAAAAAATCGGTGTTTAATTCCCTTAAATATATTTGAAAAAAAAAAATGTATCGTTAACCTCTTAAGCCCCAATATCTATGTTGTAGTTAATTTTTTATCTCGGGTAATTTTTGTTTTTCTTTTGTTTTTGGGTATAACAAGGTCTGTTAATGAAGTTGAAACAAAAGAAAAATAAAAATTACCTGAGATAAAAATTAACTACAACATCCACATACAAATAATTATTTATTACCTCTGCCCCCCTACTTCTCATAACGTTTCCTTGGCTATGTATTGATATAAAATTTGTCAGGAGGAAATTGATGTTGCTCACTCATGGGACGTAAAGGGTTAATGCCAAAAACTGCAACAGAAATTAAGTGTCGACTACAACATTTCCTGCAAGGGACATCTTCTTGTTTCTCGTAAGCTGCCTGGCGGGATTTGAAATGTCTATTTTGGAACGCAACTTTCAATGGGTTGGGTTGAAACTTATATTTCGTCAGTTTTCGAACCAGCAGCAAAGTGTTATGTATCTAAAGTAAAAAGAGTGATACGGCATATCCTCACGTTGAACCCTATTACTGTAAAACAGTAACTTTTTAAAAATGTTCTATGTCAACACAACGAGGACGAAAGTTTGATACTACTCATGGTAAGTGCGGTGGATTTCATCTCTCATCCGTGCAATATCGCGTGCTGAAAGCACCTCCTTTTCGCTCAGTAACAATCTTGTAGGACCAATGATCAGTCTGTAGTGCAGCCAGTCAGAGAAATAGCGAGGACATGCATCTCCGCGTCGTTGTAACGCATTTCTGACAAAACGCTGTATGAAAGCATCCAGGGAATTACTTTCGTACGCTTCAAGGATCATTTGTTTCGAGGTGCCAAAATCATTCAGCAGCGGATGCAGAAGTGCTTCTGTTGGGTCCCCATATTCAGACTGCAAGATGTCTCGCCAGATAGCTTGGTATATACCAAGTAAAATGCTCTCCACATCAGCTGGAACATTCCTATGGTACATTCGCAAATTATCGAAGCCATAATCACAGCGTGCTGAGGCACTGGCATCACGTCCTGCTCGCACGCGTCGAACAAGTCGTGTAAACTTGAATTCGGCAGAATGCAGTTTGCCTTGTATCTCTTCCACCCGGGGGTACTCCCTTACAAGAGCCTAATGGGGATGTGCCGCTGGATGGGGTCGCATTTTCACGACTGGAGTGACTATAATGGGGTCGCATTTTCAATAGAGTTACTAGAATGGGGTCGCAAATTCTCGAATTTTGGGGGTAAGTAGGGAATCAAAATGGGAAGATTCTCAGTTAAAAAGATCAGAAAGTTGTTTATTAAATTGAACAATAAGCTTGCATTGACCGCATTGCATTCCGTTCTTGAAACCACAACTTAAATATTAACCAGTTACTCAATAGCACAAAACCACGGGTCCAGAACAAAGTCCACCGAAACATCAGTTTTTTAACACAGCTAAGAAGTTGCTATAAATAATTGTTTGTAGAACTAGATTGAAAAATAGGTTTCTTCGCTAGATCCTTTTCTAAAAGTCCTTGAATAAGTTGCATAAAAGTTTGGACGAGTGTTGTGACAATAATATTTAAACAGTTATACAATTGCTGATAAAAAGCTATTGCCCATATATGCTCATTGGGATTAGGAATCTTCTCATCTTTAATTTTATTATAATCAAATTGCTTTTATCCGTATTCAAAATTCTATCATAACGTTCCCGTTTGAAGAAGAATGTTTTTCTTTTCAACTATTTATGACGGTACGTTTGTAAATATTTACGGTTAGGAAACGTACCAGAATGCTTGTATTGTAGGTGAAAGTAAAGTATTCTTTATTCAGTTTAAAAATTGTGTCAATTCGTTTTTGGATGACCCGGCTTTTTAAAGGATTGGCAAGGTAGATGAATAAATAGAAAGTGACTAAGTTGGGATCGCAAAAATTACATTTTCCAAAAAGTGACTAAGATGGGGTCTATAATTGGCCAAAAAATAGACTAAAATGGGGTGGGGGCTCTGAGAGGCCAGCGGCACATACCCAGCAAACATTAACCCAAGTACCCCCCCCCCCCCGGCTCTTCCAGTGGATCCTCTGGCAGTCTCTTGAGCAGTAGAATGCATGCTGACATCCAGAACAGCGCTTTAAATCGCCGCTTTGATGACAGTTTGAGTTATAACAGGACATGTTCAGTTTATCACACCTTCAAAGTCTGACAGCAGAGTCACACGTGCAGTGTGAACACCTCCCATTTGTAGCCTGGGGACGAGCTTAGTCAGTTAGTTGGGGTGCAACCTCGTCCCCAGGGTCTTCTCGCTTTCCAATATGGCGGCGGCAGGAGAGAAGACCCTGGCACACAGCAGAAATCACGTGACTGATTTGTCCACGGAGAGTGGAAATTTATTCAAAATGGCGGCCAAGCTAAAGAGTGAGAGGATCTGGGTACGAGGTCTTGAGACCTGGTGAAAAACAAACAAAATGGCGGCAGAGGCAAACTCAAAGAAGCTAAAAATATGAATGAATGCACTTACAAGCCACAGGAATACGGTAGAATGATATAGCGATCTTATTTTCTGTTCAATGACCTGGGTTTAGTTTTAAGCGTGAACGTTCTAGCGTACACGGCACTTAACAACTGTCTACAACTTAATTTCTCGATACCGACCTTTCTTCACTGTTTTCTTTTTTTGCCTACCCTGAGTGCCAGAGGTTCAGTTTTCTTCTTTCGTGAAAGGGGGAGCTTTTTTTAACCGTTAGCGCAATTTATTTGATCTTAGGAATTTCGAGAACAGACCTCTGAAGCGGGGTTTTTCATTTCTGAGAAAAGGAAACAGTTTATTTTCCCAATGTCTCTGTATTTAGCTGTATTTTACTGCCACTGAAATGAGCAAATAATAATAAATTATCATTATTGTGACACTGAAAACTGAATAAATGAAAAGTCAGGATTAAAAATATCAAAGGATAGCGACACTATGTTTGGCTTCAATTTTTAGTTTTGTTTCGACATCTGCCTCTGTCGCTGCTCATCCCCCTTCAAAATCACAGTGGAAAAAATTACAAGAAGGCCAGGTTAGGCCCATGCATGTTACGATCAAATGAAAAAAAATGTTTCACTAGACAAAAAAACTGCTGAGACAAAGCACAGATTATGCAAGATTTCCGTATAACCCCATACATCAAAGAAAACAAAAAGCACAACAACACTAAACCTTTGCAAACGGACAGCTAAATTTATTGATAAGCTGAAGCCTTGCAAGTATTCTTTGACAAATCGGGAATTAAAGAAGCAAATCTTTAGTAATTTAGAACACAAAAACCAAACAGCACGAGCAACAAAAATACCTCTACGCGTTGTAATATTCCCAGCGATTACCATTTCAGATATCACTATATTCGAATCTTTGCCTTCCAACGGTACAGTCACAGTTTTCCGAACAATCAGATCTGAATTCTGTCCACCTTTTGGGTCTCAAACACTGAAGAAAGCACTTCTAAGCCTCTACGAAGCCCTCAAAGGGTAACCATCTTTGTTTTGGAAGGAATGAACCAATGAGAGCGCACGTATGAACGCGTAGTGGAATGCACCAATCAGCGATCGTTTTAGTTCGCTGTGTGCCAGGGTCTTCTCTCCTGCCGCCGCCATATTGGAAAGCGAGAAGACCCTGGGGACGAGGTTGACCATTCTCGTCCCCAGAGCCACTCGGCTTAATTTGTACTACCACGTGACCAAGAAACGACGGGCTCTGGGGACGAGAATGGGAAGGGACCGGAAAAGTTTCATGATTGTGACCGGAAATGGGTTACCCCGGAAATGACCGAGAAATGTATCCTGCAACCTCGTTCCCAGGTTCTCTCTCCGAGGTTGATGCATCCTGTTAGGAGCCGATTCGGAGTTTATATTCTAGTTTAGTTGTAGCTTGCTTCAAGTGTTCAGCCGGGGTTGTTAATATATCTCCATTAATTTCTTGAGTCAACCCTTTCCCGAGTAGATTTATAAATAGAACGGCTTGTTTCCCGCGAAAAGTGTCATATTTCCGTGAGTCTCGTATGTCACCGTGAGGAAAATGAAGTTGGATGAAGTCGAACTCAGAAGCCCATCCTTCGACCGTTTTCCTTTTTACTATACGTCCATTTTTATGATTTTACAGCCGCTGGGATCTGGGTATCATGAAATAAAAGTTAATGAATTACCCGACTGAGACTGAGCATGAAGCGATGAGACAAAGGCAGCGAACTGAGGATCACTGAAAGGTTATCTCTGCGAGTATTTTTATTTGTCGTCATACATTTAACATGTACGCATGCACTTCGAAAAGAGTCTACGATTAAGCGTTCTGTTGACGATTTGGAACTTTTCGACGATTAGCGCCGAAAAAGTGCCAGGATGGATTTCGCCAGTTAAGCACCGCGTGCAAAAGCGATGACCTAAGTAGCAACTAACGAGGAATGCTTTATTTCCGAAATTTGAGAAATTGCAGTCTTCCTCTACAACTGACTCGCATCACCATGAGAGTTTCCTCATAAAACTGGCACTTGAAAAGTTAAACAGAAGAGAACAGTTGCTCGACCGTGAAGCTAACTCAAAAGTAATTTGCTAACGGAGGAAATTGTGACATCGCGCTCCAGCCCAAAGACCCACTTGTCTCAAGAAAAACAAAATGGATTGTATCTGCGACAAAAGAATTATGACTGACTGACAGGACAATTCTCAGCAGTTAATGTAGAAGTTTAGGCTCAATTCTTTCCTTCGAATTCGCATCTGTAGATCACTTTTTTGTGAGAAAACAATGGCTGGGTCCGGCGTTACAAAACATAGCAGGGAATCATCACACTAGCTGACAGACAAAACAACCACAAGGACTACCAGTATTTTTTCAGATAAACAGATTTCGGGAAAAAAAACCTTGAAAAACTAGAAATTTGATTAATATTGAGTCATTTAGCCGAAATAATAACCTTAACGCTTAAAAATTGGCTAAAGGAAACGAATCCTGTCAGAACTACAGACTGCAGGTAGTAGTTAATCATTATGCATCTAAACAGATCAGCTTCATGGTCTCTTAATGTGAGACAAGCAGCCAAAACTAAGATTAAAATAGTCAGAGTTTAAAACTCTCCACAGTATAATCTACCGGCTAGAAGGAAAAGAAAGAAAATCTCTGAGGGATGAAAACGCTAAAGTCACGTTTCACTAGCTTATGATTGTGTTTGGCCTGTCAACAGCGAATTTCCTGTTGTTTGATGAAGTACAATAGCAGTGTCAGAGAGATGGAGGCCCGGGGATGGAGGCTCCATTTGATGGGCTCCTGTATATAGTGGAGTACTTTGCGAAGTCGGAGGGTGGGGGAAAAATGGAGGAGGAGATCTGCATATTAATTCTTCACACTTCTTCACCTGGTACTTTATACCATACGAAAGCCGAACCCCATAATTGTATTTTTATTCGTTCAAAATATTTCCAAGTTTTTAAACACCTTACGTCCTGGTAGACTTGCTTCAAAACATTTAACCTGAGATCAGCTTTATTGGGGATCAGGCTCTATTTTCGCTTCGTTTTGTAAATAACATGCCAATTTTTTAGCGGTAGCCGTTACAGAGAATGTATGAGAACCGCTAAAATTGGGCCTGATCTCAGGTTACAAAACATTTGTCTGTTTCTCTTCACGGTCTTTCAACTGCCTGGAGACGAGGCTGCTTACTAAAGAAAAGCAGGGGGATTGGAGCAATTAGAAACGTCGAAGTGTTTTGAATGAATAACAATAGGCATACCTTTTACTCACATTCATTATGAGAGAACAAATACGGTTTTTCCAAATTAAGCTGAACCGATTTAACCCGGGATTTGTGCAAGTAGTACCAATATCCTTTTGATTATTATTGTTATTATTATTATTATTATTATTGTTATTCTTTGATTATTCTTCTTATCATTGTTATTATTGTTATTGTTGTTATTATTATCATCATTATTATTATTAAGAAGAATTTCAAGAATTTCAAGACCGAGGGCAAAATATTGAGAGAAGAGCTAGCCGTGTTCACAAGAAATCTGCTAAGGAAATCGTACCACCCATCCCTACTTGAAGCTTTTACGTCGTGCAGGCTTATTCCGCTTGACAAGAACCCGAAAATCAGACCAATTGGTGTTGGAGAGGTACTAAGGAGAATAGTGGGGAAAACGGTCAGCGGTTTCTTAAAGGAGAAAATAAAAGAAGCGGCGGGTCCCCTACAAGTTGGCGCTGGTCATAATGCAGGAGCGGAGGCTGCGATCCATGCAATGAGTCAAGTGTTTGTTGAAGAAGGAACAGATGGAATATTGCTAATTGATGCTAGTAACGCTTTTAACCAAATGAATAGGTCAGCGGCCTTACACAATATCCAGATCATGTGCAAAGAAATGGCGCTCTATGTTATTAACACATACAGAAGCCCATCTAGACTGTTTATTTGTGGGGGAGGTGAAATACTTTCTCGAGAAGGCACCACACAAGGAGACCCGCTAGCGACGCCATGGTACGCACTTAATACATCCATAATGATACAGAATTTGAGGGATCATTGCCCATCGGTTAAACAGGTGTGGCTTGCAGACGACTCAGCTGGAGGAGGGAGTATAGTGCAGTTATACAACTGGTACAGGCAATTGACTAAGGAAGGTCAAAAGTTTGGTTACCTTGTGAATGGGACAAAGAGCTGGCTTATTGTGAAGTCTAGGGAACTCGCGGGGGAAGCAAAGAGGGTGTTTGGAGAGGAAGTCAACATAACTACTGAAGGTCAGCGCCATCTGTGAGCAGTTATTGCGTCGCAAGAATACAAAGATCAGTATTGTGAGGAGAAGGTTCGTGCATGGAAAGAGGAAATCGAACGTCTCTCTGAAATAGCGAAGAGCCAGCCCCATGCGGCGTATATTGCTTTCACAAAAGGCTACAAGTCGAAGTTCACCTACTTCATGCGCACGATTGAATCGTTTGAAGTTTATGTCGATCCAATCCAGGAAGTGATTGAAGATTTACTACTCCCAACTTTGTTCGGTCAATCAGAGCCTCTCCCTAACGAGGTGCGCAGACTTGCTACCTTAGCAACAGGTCAAGGGGTATAGGCATTCCTGATCTGAAATCCGAGGCACCG